TGATTTCATTTTTATTCTAACCATTAGATGTAATATTAACGGATCCATGGTATTTAAGTCTGATTTCTTGAACTGCTGATAAATTTAGAAAAATTGCGATCTTATCATCTTCTACATTGATTTGATTTGAAGGACAGTTTTCGCTGCTGTTGTCAGCACTCGGTCAAATGTCTTGTTGCAGTTTCTCTTGTCAGCGGAAACGACTTTGCTTTAAAGCATGGCATCGGGTCAGGAGTGTAGTCACCAGTGGAACAAGCCAAAACACTTGAAAGGCACATTATTACTGATTAATGACTGAAATGGAATTCTTTCACTGGAGTATTGGAGGATAGGAGTAAAAATGCCTCAAAATTCGTACCATGAATTTATTTGCAATACCCAATATCCAACGACTTTATCAGTACCACTTATCATTGATCGCAAAAATTTACGAATTTTTATATTTTATTGCGTACTGCCTCTTCATCTCATCTTATCTCTTCCAATCTAATTGGAATGCTGCCTTTCATATTAGGAAATTTCCGAAACTCTCATCATTGAATACAATAACTAACACATAAAACTCTCATTATATTCGGTAATATTTCCGATGTAACACCGTAAATCTGGTTTTTTAATCGATATTTAATATAATTTAACCTGTTTATTATTATTATTTTTATTATTTATTATTATTAATTATTATTATTCAGTGATTGATTAAATTCATTTATTGTTTATCTCGAAAAGTTATCATTCATTTTGAAATTAGCAGAATTTGATTAGGAAAATTTAAAATTTTAAATTAAATGCGGCCGAATATTGTATTGCCTAGATTATCATTTTCAAGGTCATTGTTCAGCATATATCGTTAAAATAAGACTAAAAAATCCGTACTATTGGAGGCCCACTTGTACTTCTATCCTCAAGTGATTTGCCTCATTCACCAATTTCCAGTGGTGCGGGGAAATACAAAAATGTTTATATCTTTACAATGCAATGTATATACATAATTTCTCAAATTCTTGACGTTGTCAAGATGGATTATTAAGTCGATCATTTTTTGACCCACATTATTGAGCTTTTATCTGCATCTGGTTAAGCTCGCTACAGTGCAAATTTTTCTAGGAATCATTTGCTGATGGAAGAATAGGTTGGCCCTATGCATAATCTGAATTTTATGGTGATAGTTTTATCTCTGTACAATTCATTTGACTTTTCAATTCCACTTGGCTCAAGTGCCTCCATTTGTTGTCATTAACGGCAATAAAAATATAGAAAATGTGGTGTTTTGATTAGGTGATTAATGATTACGAATCGATTGGTGATATGACTATAGCAGCCAGCTGTGATTGAATATTTTGATCAGAGAAAAAAAAGAGAGAAAATTGCAATTTTTTATTTTTTAATTTTACTTCTTTTTTTTTTATTAAGGTTTGATCATTTTTATTAATTTTATTGTTTCACTTTTAATTTTTATCAAAATTGTCGTTTACTAATATTTTGGAATTAGGAAATCAACATTCATTTTGCTTTTTTCATTCAGAAACTTCTGCATGTCACTAATCATGCACTTTATTAGGTTTATTTTACCACGCAACATTATTGCTTTCTTCTAATATCCTTATTACGCATATGTTCTGCAGATTAAGCTTCTATTATTAAGGCCGAAGCTTGTAGTTTAGTGATAATGCATATATTTTGATATATAATAAAATTTTTCGCTTTCTTTCTTTAAATATTATTTTGACATTAAAAAGATTTGTAAAATGTGTTGGTGTTTAAAATCGAATGAGCAGTTTTTCATCAAATAATGAGCTATTATGAATGATAATTTGGGTAATGCGAATAGTAATGAGTATTGCACGACAGTTCTTTTTTTACTAAATAACGATCTATAACCAAGAATATATGTTATATCCACAAGGCAGGAGCTACAAGCTTGGTAAATGCTCAGATTCAGGTGAAAAGAGGGGTCTGCCTCCAACAGAAGTGAATCTATTTTAAAAAATTGAAGAAATGGTGGCAATTCACCTTCCACAGTTATGTGACTACCTGGAAAAAATTTCTAGTCGTACTAACAACTGTTGCAGTTAGCACAATCAAAAACGGTGAGCGTTGACTGCTTATTGTATTTCACTGTATACACCACAGATTATAAAAATGAATTGTCTACTTTTTCGCATTTTGCTTTGTCTTATTGTTTATTTCCCTAACAGTGAAATCTGTAAAAACCCATGAAAATACTAATCGAATATTACTTATCATTTCAAGCAGCACGTATCACTCTCTGCTACTGGCAAATCCCTGCCCTTGCTCTGTGGATATAGCATACATTCTTGATTGTAGATCGTTATTTAGTAAAAAAAGAACTGTCGTCCCGTTGGTGATATAGCTGTACTTCTATTTCCAAGTGACTCTCTGGCATCTCGCCGTACAATGAGCGGACGAGCGCCTAACTAGAAACGATATACGCTATAATTATTTAGTTGCTTATTTACGTGTAAAGGTTCTTAACATTTTGTTTTGTTAAAAAAATATTTTGTTTTATTAAAAACAAATTTCGATAAATAAATCGTTAGTTAGAGAGACGTATTTTTCTATATTATTACGTATTTTTTATATAAAGAACATTGTAAACATTTACTAAAGGTAAATCTACATGAATTTTTTTTCTAACCAAGATATTTTTAAAAAACTTTGAAAAAATCGATGAACCTGCGACTTCACAAATAGTCGATGGAAAGGTAGGTAAGAGATTATTATTCAACACTTCAACACTTCTGATAAGGTTTGCTGTCCGCCAGTTAGAATGGTTAGAGATTTTTGGTAGAGAATCGCTGGAATCACTGATGGAAGTCCAAATGAGCCGCTAGCATCACCCCATACTTTTTGACGACATAGGTTCACTGCTGTAGAAAGGAGAGGCCATAATTTTACTTCTTAACTGGGTGATTTGAGTTATCCATTCGGCTACCCTGCCTCCTTGTCTGAAAAGCCTTACACCTCATAACAAAATAGCCAAAGGATTTAATACGATTCATGTGCATTTTCATTCTCGCTTGAACAAAAATCCATGATATTTTCGGTTATTTATCATTTTATTTTCTCTATGTGAATTGCAATTGAATGAAGAATTGCAGACAAAGAAGCAACAGACTTCTACATTTTTGCTCAGCGACAATTTTTTATTTTCTAACATATGTCTTATTTTTTCTTATTTAACTTGTTTGTTTACTCGTTGGTCTTCTTACTTTTGCCTTCCTTCTTCTTATTTCAAGCCTCACGGTCCAGCTTTCGCCTAAATCCGACTGCTTTTAGCTGGCATTTAAAAAATTCTAATGTCGAAGGCTTGCGTCTGCGCTCTCCCTAAGTACCTGTCTGGTGAAAATTTCTTAAGCATTTTTTGTAGCCAGCGCAGCCAACCAGAAACGCTGATTGCTAACCATTTAATTAACTTGTAATCTTTAAAAACTCCATTATTATTCCAATGTAGCGATATATAGAATGAGTATAAATTTATATTACTGGTTTTCAGTAGTTTTTTTCTGAGTAACATTTATATCACTTGAATGATTCATTAAACATTTTCTTTCTTATTTTTCACCACTCATTTATTATATATATTCTATTAAATGATTTTTAGTTCATCGTTCATTCACCAATTTTGATCACTGTTTTGTCGCTCTTATTGATTAAATGATACGATCAATTATCTATAAGAAATATGTGTATTTTTAAAGGAAAAATAATAAGGGAATATCGAATAATATAATAATGCATAGGAAATTCGCACGCTATTGCCATCTGTTTAATGTCAATTAGTCAATTTTGAAGACTGCGACATACATTTTATATATATCAAATAACTGGTTCGATTTATTTAATATACTATCGAATAATTATTTATCCGTTAATTTATTTATTAATTTATTTATTTATTGCTTCAATAGATATATTTTCCTAAAATACCGTTTCGCTTTGCTTATTTTTATCCATATTACTAGTTTGCTTTTCGTCACACCAACCAGTAATAGACAGTTTTTTATCTCTTCCTACTTCATTTTCCTCCTTCATCTTTGGGAGTGCGTAGCCTTGCCATTAAGAATAAAATCTGCACTAAGCACTTATTTATCACTGATTCTTTGGCGAAAGGATTTCATCCCTGTCGTTATATTTAATAAATGGTTATACTTACCACATTGGTTAGCTTCGTTCTGCTGGCTACGGCTAGCGGAAATTTTGAATGTGGAAGTATAGATGGGTTGCTGGCATCAGCTGGTTTCTTATAAATTTATTTCTATAGTAGGCAGCGAATTTTTGAATTTCTGAATTTTTTTCTTCTGAATACTATAATTTGTGCCACTGTCCACTCAGTTAGCCATCTTAATAGTCATGGAACGAGCCAAGCCAGAAAAAAAGGTGATTTTTAGACAAAAAAAGAATATTTTTGGTTATAGCACAGTTGTCTTCTCGAATTCAATATTTTCGTTGTTTATTTCTTGTGATTTTTTTAAAAAATTTACATTTACGAAAGAAATTATTTTTTTGCCACGGCAGTTACGATGAATGACGCATTATTCATTTGTTGCATGACATAGTTTTCACGTTTTTTTCGTAAATATTTTAATAAAATTTTTTATTAAATTGTCAAATAAAATTTTTTTTTATATGTTTTCGAATTTTTCATTTCAAAATTTTCTCAAGTTTTTTATTTTTTTTAGAATTGGAAAATCAGAATTTATCTTTGATAATATCTTTGATATTTTTTTAAAAAAATTAAAAAACTATAATAAAAGCTTAATTTTTTAAAAAAGCGAATAAAAAATAATTATTTTAATGGTTTTGAAACAAATAAGATTAAATATATCTCTAATTCATCTATTTTTTTTGAATAAATGGAAAAAATCATTTAAAAAAACATCATTTAGTATATTCTGTTCACTGGTAATCCAATCTTTTATGTTAAAATATTTTATGAAAATATTTTTGTTATTTGTGAATTTTTTTTATTTTTTTAGACAAAAGAATTCAATAATAGAAGAATAATGGATGAAGATGAATTAGGTGATTTGACCCCAGAGGAGTGCCAAAATCGAGGAATATGCGAAGTTGATCCTGTATATTATAGCTTAAATGGCAATAATAAAGTACTTTTCTTGTTATCTTTATTTTTTTTTTTTTATCATTGCATATACTAATTTCATTATTATTTGGCATCAAATTTCTTTAATTGGTTATTATTAATCGTTTGGTGTTTTGAAGTCAGCGTGTATCAACAGAAGTTGCACCGTTTTTTAATTCTGTGGATTTTTGATTCTTTCTTGATTCTTATTGATTTTGTACAAAATTAGATTTGAGTTTATTTCGAAAAAGAATTTGTAGCCGATTATCCACTTTTTTCACTTGTTATATAAAGCAAAGGACTTCCAATTTTATGGTTTAAGTTACTAATAATCATTATTTGACGATAGGCTGTTAACAAGACATTTCGATTTTTTTTTAGAAAACTCTTTTTTAATGTTTTATTTCTTTTTTTCAAATTCACAGTTCACTTTCTTAAATTATTTTTTTCTAATTTTTCGTTTTTTTATTTCTTATTTATTTAGTTTTAACTTGCAATTATTGATTAGCAATTTTAATATTTTTGGTTGTTTTTCTGGAGGATGATTTCACTAATTGCTGAAATTTATTGTTTTTTCAGGGAGATTATCCTAGAAATAAACGTGGTAAAGCGTACAGGTTACGTACTAGTGGTTCATATGTTTTTTTTGAAGCACACGATGGAGTTATGTATAAACCCGGTGATTTTGTATTCATTGAATTATCTCAATGCGAGCCTTATGGTGTTGGACTTATTACTAGCTTTAAAATGGTAAATTTTAGATCTCCAAAATAAGAAAGATTTTTTAGACTCAAATTCTTTCAAAAAATAAGAGCTTTTACCAATATCAAAATAACTAAATGAAATTTACGGATTTCTCGTAGAAATTAATTTAATTAATTATTTATGATCTTTATTATTCGTTAATCTATAATTATTCTCTATTCTAAGAAGAGTAAGTGATTAATGCTCACTATTTGTCGTTGGGCTCGCTCCACTGGATCTTAATGAGGTAAGGAATAGAAATAAGTGGCTCTCTAGTACCACGCTGATAGGCTTGTCAATGGCAAGAAAATAATCTGAACAGCAATCTGACCAATTCGGCTATCGTGCCGCGAAGAATAAACATTGGCTTATTTATAATAGTTTTTCTCCATAAATTTCTTTACTTTTATGTTTGAAAAAATAAGAAACAGGTTTTAGAGGAAAATTTAAAAAATAATCTTTAAACTGCTGGATATATATATAGTTTATATCCATGTTAGAATCCGTGCAATGCGATGCATTTGTTTATATCAACTCTATTTGATGATTTGATGAATGAGAGTTTCGGGATTTCTATGTTAAGGAAGTACCTCCGCCTGATTGATGATTCAATGAATTTCATTGACTGCAAAAATTAAATCATAAAATTTCAAATTAGTTCACAAAATTTTTAATCGTTTCATTGATCGATTTAAAAGAAAAGTGATAAAAAAGATTTCAGTTTCAGTTTTAGAGATTTTCTCGAATTTCTTTTTGTTGTTTTGGTTGTTTTAAAGATGCCTTTGTCTGCTAATCCATTCTGTGGAAATTCGCATTCGCATTCGTTATGTTTATTTGCTTTAGAAAGTGTTAAATTTTGTTTAATTATAATTAAAAAGAATTAGAAACCACAGAAATTTGTTGGATAATGTTGTATGAGAGGCTGAAACAAGGACAAAGCTGTCACTGCTATATGTGGACTTATCTCTATGAGTTGCATTCCCGGTGCCGGGCCGAAAGTGGCCTGAGCTAAGATGGAGCAAACAGTATTTTATTTGAGTGGAAGTATTGTAGATCACTACCACCAGAATTTGCGAGACTTATGTTAGAGCGATTGGTGATCGATATATTCTCATTTTTCATCAAAAACACTCGGGTGAATTAATTAATTTCATCCGGCTTGGTAGATAGGTCGCGTAGAAGCAGTAAAAAGTGGAAATCAAAGCGAAAAGAAAGAAAAATAGTGGGAATGGAATGCTAAATGTCTTGACCACACGGATTTATGGATGTTGGCGAAAATCTTTTTTCGTCGATATTTCTTAATATTTCGTGTTGCCATCTAAATTAAAAATTAATAGTGAATTCTAATAGCTAATTAATTATCATTATAATCAATCTATTATATTTGATTTGATTTTAATCTTATCGTTGGATCGCATCTTCTCCCCATTCTTCCTCTCTCCCCTCCTCCAATTTTCCTTCCAATCTTTCTTGATCGTAATCGAAATAAATTTTTCTTTAACACCTCTCCATTCTTAATTATATATGGTATTTGAAGTTATAACATAAATATACACAGAATTTAATAGTTCATTTACTATTAATGAGAGCGAAAAAATGAGTTATTGATCGAATAATTCTCATAAACCGGCTTTAATTTTTCGAAACATGCAGTTGGAAACATGCACATGAATTTATGATTGCACATTTACTATGCGAAGGCGATTTGCAAGACAAAGGATGTGGCGATAAAGCTTTCTTCTCTAAAATATGCTACAAGTGAAAGTTCTAGTAGTAAACCGGGAAAAGATTTACTAGATGTGCGTCATTAGTAGATGAGGCAGAATGTAATCAAATATATCGATAATCCAATAAATCGCGGAACCAGTTAATCAATGAGTTCCCATGGAATTCATATTCAGATTAATAGAACAGTCAAGTAAACTCAACAACTGAACATTTTTAGTTAAGCCTACTCGTCCTACTCGCTGTGTTAGAGGACATAAATGGCGATAGAGATTTTTCGCTTTTACTTCTGGGGCCCGAACTGCATGCTCGAGACAGCAGCAGCCTACTCGGCCTCCCTCGATCCAAACAGCACTTTTTAATAAATTATTCATCGTGAAATATTCATAAGTTTGAGTTAATTTAAGCGATTAAGAATGGGAAATATAACTTTGTACTGAAGAAAAAAATACGAGTAAATTCCACAAAACATATTTCTTTTCTTCTTTTTTCAAAATGATATTATTATTGTTATTAAATGTTTCGATTACTAGTAATCGATTAATGCAATAGTTGGGTATGGGTATTATTAAAAATGCTTCCATAAGCTTGACGAAGTGCTTGATCAACCGAAAATTTGGAAATTTCAATGCTTAAATGTCAAACACGAAAAAAATTACATAAAAAGAGAATTATACTGGCGAAAAATGCGTGTATTTTAGGTGAAGCGGGATCAATTATCATTTCGTGTTCAAAGGTTTTATCGACCTCAGGACGTGCCCGATGATAGTTATTCAATTTTAATTCAAGAACGCCGTGATGATCCTACGCTTAATCAAACTGTAATTGCTGCATTAGAAGCTCGTGAACTGTTTTCCACCGAAATACAAAGTGTGTATTCCGTATGTAGTCTCAGGTAAGCATTAGATTTTGTTTATTCTAATTATTTATTTTAGGACATTGTTTGTAATTTCCTTCACAAGCTTGCTGCTTTCATAAATCCTGTAGCATCGTATAATTGACGGTGATTTATGGCGAAATCCAAAGGTATTATTTGAAGATTCCACAAATATCCATCTGGTGAAAAGGTTCCACATTAATATAGTTAATGGAACCAGTTGAACCAGAAATGATGTGTGCTTACGGTTTCTTATCTTCGATTCTTACGATGTTTTGATCTTTCTTTCTTTTTTCTTTCGCAGATTTTTTCTTGCTTGTTTAAGTAGTTACAAGTAGTTATGGCCAAGATTATTATTCCTTTAAATTATTATTCCTTCTATCGTTTCAAAAATGATTCCAGTCATGCTTATTCACTCATATGTTTCGTAAGAATAAAAGATAAAAAAAGTCCCTCAGTCCAAAATTTTTAATCTTACATCTTTCTGAATATTTCGTTAAATTTTTGCTTTGTTTTGTTTTTGTCGAAATTTTTTCTTGATCATTCAGTCCTTGAACGGCTTTGTCTTTTTTTAAAATCTCATATAGCTGAAAACTTTCGTAGATTCTATCGTACTGAAATGGCTTACCTTTCTTTCCTTATCCTTGAATCATCAGTTCGTTTGTTTTCATTTTTCTCATTAAATTTCCTATTTTTTAAACTTATTCCACTGTTAATTCACTATTCTCTCACTAATTATTTATTCGGAGACTTAATCATCAAATATTTGTCCATTTGTTTTTTTCGCTTCATCCAGCCAGCGGTGACCAGTCAGATTTTTTCGTAATGCTTTTAAATCGTCAATATAACATCATATGTCGGCTTTTGTTGGATAATTTAGATTTTTAAGAAATTTTAAGAAAGATTTTAAAAGAATTAGTCGCGATTCTTTTTTGCTTCCTAGCTAACGAGAAATAGTAAGTAAGCTGTTTAATGAGTAAATAACTGTTAGAGAACAATTATGTTATTATGTTTATTGTGGAGTCAGTTGATTGATATTCGTGTTCGTTTGATAACTGACTGGTAATCTAAATCAACTTGTTCATTTTATTCTAAACGTAAAATTTATTGGCTTGAAATGTTTTAGAACAATGCAGTATTGCCTTTTTAATGTGCTCTTTTCGATGCCATTTTTTACAAATTTGACTTAGTACCGTTTAAAAAAAATTCTTTTGCTTTTGAACAGCTACTACTTCTGCTAGTTTCTACGGCCACGGAGGTGTGAGGGAGAGAATCAGTTGCTTGGGGCAGAAGAAAATCCTTAATATTCACTTGAATTTCATTCTAATGGTTATTTATTTCCGTCAAGAAGCAGGAATCGAAACAGTGCTGCATTGTTGTTTTTCTTATATTTCTTCATTATTATAATAATTCAGGTTTTTTGACCGAAAATGTGCAATGATGTCTGTAATGTTATCTTTGTCGAGCGGCTGAGTAGCCAAGTGAATAGGGCGCTGTTCCCAGAAGTAAACCAGTCATTAAAAAATCAATGTGGTTCTGGCGGCTTCTATCGCTGAAGAGGTCTGCGCCAGCCACTTGTTATATTGATCGGTGTTGATCTTTTTCAATTTTAAGAAGTCATCTATAGAATTTCATTTATTGTCATTAAAAATAAGCAGAATTAAAATAAAATAAAAATGAAATAACAAAAATAAGATTTATTCGCGTATTAATATCATCTAATTATGAGAGCAAATTCTTAATTGTTTTAAGAGCGTTGCATATGCTATGCTTTATTAAGCTGAAATCTCCGTAGGGAATAGTAGAGATTAGAGAAACTTTACTTCTATCATTTTCAAGTAGCAAATAATGATCCTTTTTTTTGCTCCACATTTTTGATTATTGGCCTTTTTTTCTGAGGGCGCTCACCATTTCTGGTTAAATTCACTCCGCAGGTTTGTCAAGAGAGATTTCGGTTTCTCTTGCCGGCCATGAGTCGTCAACATTACTCGGAACTTCGAAAGGCCTATTTCTGCTCGGAGTAGCTCGCTCTCCGAAATGAGAGCAACAACCCATGGAGTCATTCCACCCCAGCGACTCGCCTTTATTTAAGTATGTTAATCTTAATCTTTTTTTTAAAATCGTTTATGGCTATGATTGTTGTTTTGCATCGTTCGATCGTTCGTTTTTTTCTATAATGTAATAAGTGAATGGTATCTTTCGTACGTGAAAAAAATAGAGTTGAAAATTAAGATGGAATTATTTCAAATTCTCGCAAAATTCTTTTTATTTCTCGAAGTTTCATTTAAAAAATATGGGTTTTTATTCCATTTTACGTTAAAGTAATCGATAAAATTTCCGCAATTCAGGAAAAAAATTTTTAGAATTGTGAGATTTCATTTCGGCATAGTTGAACAGCGCTCTCGACGGTCGGTTATTGTCGGTTTGCATTTGATTAAGATGATACTAATTTGAACGGTAAAGATTAAAGGAAACGTTACGCGGATTAAAGACTCTTAAAACTTTAAGTAAATATATTTATGAGATACACCGTGCTTGATTGATTTTGCTTAATTAAATTGAATTAGGCAATAATCAAGGAAAACAGTTAAAACTGTAAATATAGCGGTAATAATTTGTATTTTCTTCTTAAATTAAAATTTCCCTTTAAAATCTCTCTTTACTTTGGCAGATCCTTTAATCTTAGTGAAATAAAAAAATCTGGCGATTTATTTAAATCCGGGAACTATTTTAAGCTGAAAAAATATTTTATTGGTGAGATTGAATTTCAGTCAAAGTATTTTTTTTTTTTTGTGCAAATAAAATAGAATAATTCTGAACAAATTTCTGAAATAAAGTAGTAAAAAACAATTATAAATAATGGAGGAGAAAAAAGGAAAATAATCTGAGAAAAAACTTAAAACTTAAACTGACTTTTTTTTGGCTTGAGATATGCTGAAGATAAGATAAATAGATTTTCTTTCATAAGCCGATTATTTTCATTTGTTCATTCGATTTATTTATTTGAAACGATCCTTTGGCAAATGAACTGAAAGTTTTTTATGGGAATAGCCAAGTGTATTTTATTATATTCCCTATCAGTCCTTCCTTAGATTTGCCTTCTCGGAAAGCAAATTGTTGAGTTTCACAGCTAAATAAATACTATTAAATGCGAAATGCGAACATTACGGAAAATTTCATTCTTTAAAAATTCATTTTTATTTTATTTCGATTAATTTAGCGACTATTGTCGGAAATATTAGTCATTAAAAATTCGAGTGATGCTAGCGATCCTTCTGTGTTTCCATCCATGTCATTTCTTTCAATGCTTTCCATTAACCGTTAATCAGCAATCAACAATCAAGCTGAAACATTTCTGAATTCGAATTTAGCTTCAGCCCGTCTCTTTATGATTTCATATATATCAGAAACATACAGTGCCATTCCATGCCATTTATTCAGCAAAAATTTGATTTTCTGGCAAAAATTTCTGATTAGCAGTGGAATGAGCCCAGCTTGAGAAATGGTAAGCGCTGCTAACCACTTACTTATACAAATTACTGTATTTATTAAATATTTATAGAATAATTTAGAAAAAAGTATTTTTTCTCTCAACGATTTTTAAGTGTTCTTTGATTCGTTTTATTTCTTGTCTAACATTGGAAAAGTGTATTTGTGCATTAGATGAAAAAAAAAATGGAAAAAAAGAGAGAAAATTTTCGTTCGTTCTAACTTCGTTTGCATTTTATTATTTTTCTGAATTTTTTGGAAAATTGGAAATAGTGAGCACTAATCAAACCACTTATTTATTTGCTGAGCGTGGTCATGACGGAGTTTCTTATTGCCTTATTTCATTTTATTGTTATTGTCTTGTTTCTCGATTTTTCCAAACATTCATTCGATTCACTGCCAAAAGCCTCATAAGTAAGGAAATATTTGATAAATAGGATCAAATTAAAGAATCACTTCGGCGAAGACTTTTACCGAAAATTTTTCATCGACTATTGCATGCATTTTTACTTATATGTATTTGATGAAAATCAGACGAGAAGACCATTAAATTCGCAATAATCGGTTCAAAACTCATTCATTTTGATTATGATCGCGCACTCTGAAGTTGTCTGATATTTCGTCCATTTGTCATTTTGCCTATTTTAGCGATTTCTTCAATTTTTGTTTGTTTGAGTATTCGTTTTAGTATTTTAATTTCCGAATGACCTTATCCAACTTTATGTTGATGTATTCATTTGAATTTTGAATACTTTTTTGAGAAATCGGAAAAATTTTTCGCTATATAGAAAAAATGGGAGAGTGCGCGCGCTTAACGATTTTTGCGCATGATAAAATAAATTTTTTTGGATCTCCTTCACTATTTTTTAAGGTTCATCGTTTTTGCTGCATTTTTTTCTTATCAGTTATCAGTTGCACTTTTTCTTTGCTAATCTCCAATTTTTTTCGTTCTCTTATTCTTATCAGTATTTCTATTCTTTTATTATTATTTCCTGGCTTTTATTAACTTCCCCAGTACTTACTCTACTCTTATTGACCAACGATATCACTGATTTCTGTACTAAAAGTTAAGAGTTTTGGTTTAATTGTCTGTCAGAGTAGTTTTTTTCGTGCCATTGTTTATCTTTATTACCCAGTAGAATTGTTTTTTAATTTTTGATATAAAAAGATATAGAGTGATGAGATAAGATGCGATAAATTTAATTTTGCGTTAGGTAGAATAGGTTTTTATTTTTTTTTTCCTTTATTAATGTCTTCCGTTTACCTACCACCCACCACTGATATTAAATAATATTGAAATTATTAGTTTTATTAAATAATTAGTTTTTTTCATTGCTTCCATTGTCTTCTAGCCTTTTGCCCGTTCGCTTATATGAGCAACACTTAATATTTTTTTCTGGTTTTCATTTATTAATATTTCAAGTCAAATGTAATTTGCTTGATTATGTTAATGAAAATTTTTCAGAGGTAAATGTATTATTCGATCGGTGAAGGATATTCGTGCGTTAACTGAATGTGATGTGCAAGCATTAATTGATACGTTTTTCAATTTTGTTGCATTTGATCATAATAATAGCAGGCTGGCGCCTATACAAGGAGAAATTCGTGTTGGAGCCTCATATCAGGTTACCTACTTGTTTACAGGCATTCATTTCGATGATAAAGTATATTTATTCAAATATGTTTATAATTTTACCAGAGGTTACTTGCGATGAGAGCACAGATAGGTTTCTAACATCGCTCGCATTTTTTATGCTCTTGCAAAGAATGCACATACCCGGGTGATAATTTGAGCAACCGTAACTGAACAACATTGAATTCTTGATATTGAAATTATTAATAATTAGGAAATTATTAATAATCAATACTCAATACAGAAATTTCCTTCCATTTTTCCCCACTATTTTCTGGTACTTTTGATTTTTTTCTGAATTAGTTATTTATTAAAATAATTTAGGCGGAAATTCCGGAATTAGAAGAGAGTTCACCATTTGATGTAGCGGATCGTGATGAATTGCAGTGGCGACCAGGATATATTGTCGATGACAGCGAAAATGAGTTAGTTACTTCGATGGCTTTTTTTCATGGAAATTCTTTCCATAATATATGGATGAATTTGTTGGATTTTTATTAACTAGCGCTTACTTAATAGCTGAAACTTTTTTTTTCATTTTTTATCGAATATTTTTTATGGAATTTGAAATATTTCAGATATGTAAGAGCTAATCGTGCTTTCCGTTTATATATGTTAGTCAAGACTGATGGCGTTACTGAATTGGAACGCCGTCCTTTAACGGGTGATCTTTGTCTACATGATTCTTTCATTACGGTTAGTTATAGTTATTTATGCAATATTTCTTCATGCTGATTTTACAGCCCGCAGCCCATATTTTTTAGTATTCGCTGGAATGGATATGGTTATTTCAAATGGTTTGAGTTTGTCGATTGTGAGAAAATGTTTAATTCTCTCGATATTTTTTTTCATTATCACTTTAATTACAGACTTGAAATAAAACAAGAAAGATAAGTCGAACACATTGAATGTTTTTCTTTCATATTTGACAAATAACTTTAAAAATCTTCCAGAAATTATGAAATCTTTAATTTTTTAAAAATTTCTTTAACGATGGAGTTTATATTAGGAAAAATTAATTGACGTATAGCAAGTAGCTTAAATTATCATCTTAAGAATTATTAGGTTGGCTTTAGTTTCTGGTCGACTCTTGTCGGATCTTACAGGAGGATCTTACAGAAATATATCATTAAAAAATCTGAAAATATTGGTGACCTAATTGTACTTTTATCGCTAAATGACTCTCTGGCAAAGACTTTTAATCGTTCTAGCCAGTGGAGCGAGCCTAACGAGAAATGATGAAGGCTTGTAAGCTATCGGATAAACTTTATTTACTGCTCTTCAAAAAATATAATTTGCTAATTAAAATAAGAAGAAAATAACGAAATTTTTTATTTTTCTATTATGTTTAGAGTATAAATGAATATTTTATATATTTTGAGACTTCTGTTATGAACCGTTGATAGTTGGCATCAGTCGAATAATTATACCATACTGTTATTTATCTTTCACTTTGAATTTGTTCAGAACAATTCAAATTGTTTCGCATAGTATATGGTATATGTTGAAAAAAAATGATTTTAGCTTCATGAATCGGGCTATAACGTAAAACGTGCTATTGAATTGATGCATAAAAAAGATGAAAAAGAATTCAAAGAAATGAATTATATGAGTTTGGAAGATATGAAAAAATTCGTTCGAGGTATTAAATTACATGGAAAGAATTTCTCAAAAATTACGAAAGATTTATTGCCAAATCATAAGAGGGTTTGTTTTATTCAAAAAATTTTACTCAAAAAATTTTAAGGAAAAGAATTTGAGATGACAAATAAGATGGAATTATTGTTCCGTCGTCAAACATTTCCTATATCCTAATATGAAGTCAGTGATTTTGTTGATTGAGCCGATTTATATGCACGAGCGATTTTTCGCTTTATCTGTTTTAACAATTTCCTTTCCCTTTTTACAGTGTTATTTATAAAAAAAATTGTTACTGGTCGACGAAACGTAGATTTTAAAATATGATTCTTTTTTTCCCTTTTCTTACTGTTACTGTTAAGCTGGCTTCTCTGCAAGAATATGACATCTCCAACTTGCTCGACGATGTCATATTTGACGTTAACAAAAACCATTTTTTTTCCATCGTCCAAGTTCATATATCGCTGGAAATACACGTTCGAAATCTTTTCTGACTCTATTCTCATTTAGATAATCCAGATCTTCATTGATATTCTTTTTAATGTCATCATCGCACTTAGTAAAGCGAGGGTCAATTTTAAGAGCGAGCGCGATTGGCGATGAAGGAAAAGAAATCTAACCAGTGTAGGTGGCAATACTCTATACAATACTAATAATATAGATGGTCCTTAGCGAAGGTGAAAGCAACCATGTAAGATTCTGTCCGCTTGGCGATCATCTGAAATGTGCATTGTCTAGAATTTTTTGCATTCCTTTGCATTGCAAGCCTATTCAGCAGAAAGGAAGCCAAAAAATAGGTTATTTACTAGTTTATTTACTAGTTTATCGCAATATCTTATTTCCTATGGTCTTTTTGGGAATTAGGATCAGAATTTCTTCATCATTTGCTTTATTAATTTTTCTTCCATATCAGACTGTATCATCTGAAGACAAGTTGTGAAAACGGTGGATGTTTGAAGACTTTGTCGCGAAGGCCACATTCTCCAGGGATTGGTCTTAAGCTTTTGAATAGCGGGGATTATTTCTTAAGCCGTTTGCTAGTAGTGGTAGGCATGTGGCTCGGTGTTTCAGATCTATCCTTTATGGCAAATGGAAACTGTAGTTAGATTCATCTTTTCCCTTCATTACGGTTCTTAAAATGAAATTATTTGTCGAAAAGATATTTTAATCACGCGACCGAGAGTCGAGAACGGCTAGGGTCAGATCCGGCCAATGCAAGATGCTTTGCAGGAAAACATCCCTGAACGGCGAAAAAAAGGAAAGGCGATAGAATGGTTCGGTGGGTTGTTGCTTTCATTTTGGGTGCTGAGGTCCTGCAAGAATGAACCTGTTTTTCAAAAGACTGAGTGATGCTGACCACTCACCTATACTTGATATCACCAAATGAATCCATGGAAAAATCTGACTGGTATAACAAACCAGCGGAGCGATCCTAACCGTCATATTGAGCTTTGTTATAAAAGAATTGGAATAATTGTGCATAATGTGACAGTCAAACTTCCGAATCTTTTTTTTCTTAATTTTTGTATTAATATTCAGCAAATTAAATCTTTATTTTTTATGGATTACTTCTCATATTTACGATCAATTTCTGTATATCTTGCCTTTTGCAGACTGATTTGATTAGATTTTATTATTACTGGAAGAAGTCACCTGAGGCCACGAAACCAAAACCTTTGGGTAGGACGCGTAATACGACAACAGTGAACTACAGGAAAGTGAAAAATAATCAGTCCAAAGTATGCCTTATCTTTTTTCTGCTAATTTTGTTATATATTTTATTGATATATGTTAGATTATTGATATTATAAGGCTTTTTTAGGTTGTTCATTTCTTAATAATCTCAATTTTAATCAATCAAATCTTCATTCTTATCTTTATTTATTAAAAAATTCAGCTTCGATCGGGTAATACAGATTTAGCCGATTACGATTCGGCTAGTGAATCCGAAATGGATCACATGATGGTTGATGGTCGTGCGGCATTATATGCATGTCACCATTGTTATTCTTCAGGTTTTAAATTGTTGACTTGTATACTTCAGGCTAGAATGATTCACTGGATTTCAGTCAAATTTTTTTATCTCTTGCTCTGCCCTAATATTATTTCTTAGTATCTTTATTGAAAAATATTAATATTTTTCAGAAAGCAAAGATTGGCATCATTCTGGTAAAGAGCATCAACTTCTTTGTACTGAATGTCGTTTATTTTATAAAAAATATGGACAGCAACGTCCAGTTGATCGACCCAGTATAGTTCCTCCCTCTCTTCATAAACCAAAATCTCCAGAATTAAATGAAGATGAAGTTTGTCCTTTGTTTTCTTGTTGAAGTTTCTTTCTTTCGATTCCTTTTGACTGAGAATCTTTAGGAGGTTTTGTTTTTTAACATCTCTTCTTTTTGCGATTTCTATAAATTTCTTCTATTCCTTTTTAGAATAAAATTAATTATTGCAGGAACAAGGAGTAAGAACTCGTGCAGGTAAAAAAGAAAGGAAGGAAAGTCCATTAGAGCGCGAGAAGAAAATGGGAAGCCCAAGTAGCAGTAATGATACGGTTGAAAAACAGAGAAATGGTAAAAGGAAGAGGAATCATCATGTTAATTCTGAACAAGTTTATTGTTACTATCTTCTTAAACATCTTACTTATTGTTTTATTGTCTACTGTTTTAATTTATTGTTTTAATTTTAAGGTTTTTTCATTTAATTATTTATTCAAAAAAATTTTATTACTCATTCACACTCACTTTTACTACATTGATAAGATTAATTTTAAGATCAACGGGTCTGCACGAAAACGGTTGGCCAAAGAAGCAAAAGAAACAATTATTTCATCAATTACTTCCAAGGAAATCGACGAAATCATTGAAACTCATGACACTGAATGTTTAAATGCATCAAAAGAAAATGTATTATTTCTGAGAAAAAGTAGCAGCCATGAAATTTACAGAAGATAACTGAAAATAAAGAATAAAAAATTTACAAAAAAAACAAGTCGAAAGTCATATATAGTCTTAAACATTTGTAGCCATATATATATATATATATATACATGATTTCGAGAGTTCTTAGTTCTTACGATTTTTTATCGTGAATCTACCAAGTTTTTTTTCAGGATGCACCAGATACTGCTAATGACCCATCTTTAGCGAAAAAGTGTCCCGATTCACCAAAATCGAGAACTCTAGATAATAGTGCCAGTGTGAATATGGCTAATTCTAACACTATTACTTTATTATCTGCTGATAAATTATCGCCGAAACAAGGCAATGCTTCAAACTCTTTAAATACACCATTGTGGATAGCTTTAACCGAATCGGATCAGAATAAAGTAAAAATTAACGAAAGCTTACCAAATGGTATCTGTAAGAAAACAAATTCACCATGTAAGGAGAAACCGTGCACGAGTTCAGCCCTCCAGGAACTTACACTGGTTTGGTTTTTTTAAATTTTTTTTAGATTTATAAGGTTATGCCCAATATTTTTCATTTCTGCTTCCATCATGTTTTATTGACTGCCCTTATGATTTCATTCTTTAAAACTTTTAAGTTGCGGTATGAGATATTATTAGTTATCTCGCCCAGTTTATCCATAGAAAGATATGAAATTCGAAATAAATTCGAGATTCTTATAGGATGGAAAGAAGGTTGCAGAGGAGCATTCATGGAAAGTCGGGAATTCGCTAGCAGTGTTAACTACTAATGCACAATTTGTTCGACTTATTGAACGAAGCTGTGGACAAATGTGTGCTCGGACTGATCTTATATATCGGTCTAAAATTGGTACTGCATGGGAGAAAAAGAGGGAGGCACGAGTTAACTCGTTCAAAAACCATGTTCATTTGCAGTCGGCGAAAAAAGTAATTTTAATGGATTTTCGATTGCTGAAAATCGTTGCTATAGCGTTTCATTTTTTTTATTTCTTATTTTTTAGATGGTCGAAGGAGCAACACCCTCTAATGTTCTATCAGCTTCACAGTTAACGCCAACCATTGATTCATTTGTGGGAGGTCGGGTTCCCCTAAATGGTACTGTAGTTGGCAATGTCCCTCCCATATTACCTGGTCTTTCTGATCCTCGCTTAGCATATTTGAGTCAACAGCAGCAGTACGCTTTAGCATTGGAACAACAGGTTTATACTTGAATCTATCCTCTTTTTTTCTACTTTTCAAATAATATCAATTAATTATTCGTAGCAGGTAAATATGAAAATACTTGATAAGGGTCCAAGTCTGTTAAAATATTCTCAGCAACGCGCATTGGCAAACAAGATTTGAAATAGAGCTATGATTAAGTAATTAATAAACGATTGATTTAAGATCAGAGTGGAACATAACGTAAGAGATGAACTGCTCAAACGGTCTGAATATATCTTTTATGCCTTATCTTTCTAAAAGGATTTCTTTAAATTTTATGCTTAATTTTCTTTAAATTTTATGCGTCATTACGAGTGAGAACCTATAAATCCGGTTAATCTTATGTAATCACTAGTGTAATTTATATTTATTTAATTTATATATTCCTCATCTGCTAACTGGTTTAAAATAGAAAAAAAAACTCCAAGATTTTTTATTAACTAAGTGAAAAAGATGGTTATTTTTGGTAACTTAAGATTATTTTGAGATGATTTCTTGTTTCACTTCATCGTAAAGGTTAAATTAAGTTTTTTCAGCAAGCCTTTCATAAGCAATTCGAGCAGCAGTTGAGGGTTCATCAATTAGAATTAATACGTTCTGGTGCTAATGGAACTATGACACCAAATTCTATGCGTGAATCGCCATCGCGTGCTTCTGTTGCCTCTACACATGGAATTCCATCAACAGTTGTGTCTTCACCCTATCATATCCTTGATCCACGTTCATTATCGGCACTAATGCATAATCCTCAATTTGCTGCCAATTTCGGTCTTGGTATGGATAGTCATGCGACAGCTGTGATGAACGCTCTGGAGCAACGTACAGCGCTTGAACAGCGCAATGCTCTCGAGCAACGATTTCTAGGTATTTTTAGTTCTAAAAATAGATTCTCCGATTTATTTTTTGCATGTTATTCTCATCCTTCATATTGATTTTACATTAAATAAATTTACAGCAGGAATAGCGGGACTAGATATGTTAGGACCTGGTGGATTATCAGCACCGCAAGGACCTGCACATATTCATCCACACACAGCGGCGATGATGCAACAAGTTGCAGCTGCTTCACAACCTAATGGTATGTTTTAGCAAATAATTTTCCCTCTAGAATTTTAAAAAAATTCAAACTATATTACTATTTTTTTTTTGTAGGTGATGCGCTACATCTCCAACAAATGTTAGCTATATCTGCTGCCGCTCAAGCTCAAGCTCAGGTATCTCGACCATTTATGGATCAGAATCATCTGTTACAGATGACCATGATAAATTCATTCAACAATGAGTTAGCGGCGCGTATGGTTAATCCTGGAGCATTAAATTCTGATATGATGCGAAGGCTGCAACAAGAAGGCGGTTTTGCAACAGCTCAGAGGCCATAAATTCGTAATGCATGGTCTCACATTATATTGCGTAAGGTCCCTCCTGATGCTTTCTAATAACATTATGCTTTGTATGTTTATGCTTTCATCTTGTAATTATTGCATATTGTATCGTTAGTAGTTGCGCGATTAATGGCATATCAAATATTAGTCAGAATATCCTTAATGAAATTTATGGAGCATCCTTCTTCTTCTTCTTTGTCTTCTAACAGCTCGCACCATTACTGGTTAGGCTGGCTCCAATGGTAACAAGGGTAAGAGGCTTCCAAACGGCGCGGCCTGATGTCATCGTCGACAATAATAGAAGCCATTCTTTTTTCCATCGTCTAAGTCCATATATTGCTGGTCAACTTATACGTTCAAAATCTTTCATGCCCGTATCAGTCCAGGTCTTGATTGGCCCACCTGGCTTTTCGTGCTATCCATTACACGGTTTAGGAAGTAACAAAATATGCGACAACCCTTGTGGATGGAGCATCTTTACATTTCTTTATCAAATAATTACTTGAATGAATGCCCTAGTAGAATGTCCTTGTTAAGTTTAAAATTTAATTTAGTGTTTTACGAAGCACAGCTTAAACGCATCAGTTTCACAAAGAGCGAGCCACTTATTAAAATATTTCCTGCTATTTTCAGCGATTATATATTTGCTCTATTGAGTATTTCAGTTGTTTGTGGTTGATGTACTTTTATCTTTTATAGCCTTTTAGGCATTTATTATGAAATACCAAAAAAGATAATAGATTTTAAAAATGTTTTACGAGCGGTTTTTTGCTTTTTTTAATCAGAAAACTAGTGGTGTAGTGAAATATCGCTTTCATTTCTTGTATAAATTTCTGCTTTTATTCACGGGCGCTTTTTATTGTGCCTTTATTATTAAAGAATTTTTTCTTTCCGATTCTCCCATTTATAGCTGCTCGATTTTTTTTTGGTTTTGTATAAATGTTTCTTTATATTTTGTTTTTGATGAATATAAATTTCTTGTTAGTGACGTTGTTGACGATATTTTTCGATCGTATTTTTTTCAGCTTCGTTCGTTCATCAGTGTTTTTTCGTAAGTCTCAGAAAGCGATGAATGAATTCGTTGAAAAAATAAGATTGGAAAATATAGGGAACGTTTTTTTCTTCTGATTGATGCAGGGATAATCTTTCATAATTTCATATCGAAGTTCCTTTCTTTTCGGAAAGAAGTTAACCAACATTGTTTCTAACATTGAGTTGGCATTATAACACTTAGCAATAAACATAGAATAATATAGACAATATAATAATTAATAATAGACAACTATATAAAATCTTTCTGATATTTGTACATAGTTTATACGGTTGGCTGACTTCGAAACTGATTTCAGTGAAAAAATTTGAGAATTTCTTGTTGAAATGTGTATAGACATATGTAATTATGTGATAGTCGTTTAATATTATTTTCATTCCTTTCTCCCTTATTTTCATTTTTTTCTTTTAAATTGTTTGTGCGATATTGTCAGTTTTTGTCCATAAATGTAAACAAATAATAATGGTAATGAAATTTATTGGTATTTGAACATTAAAACTGCGTGCGATTAAATCAACATATTTTAAAAAATGGTGCGGTTGGTAAGAATATCCTCGTTTAAAGATTGCGTTTCACTTGAAGATCAGAAAGTTGGGTTGAGTGGCGAAATTACAATAAAGATTAACAAGTTGCTCATACAGCTCTTTTCATAATTGAAAAAATTGTCGTTGAGCGGTCGGTTCATTTATTTGCTCTGACCCAAATCGATTATTTCTAAGCTATTATGTGAAGTTTTTTTTTCTTTCTCGAAATCTATTCAAATGAGCTAAGTTTTTTTTTTCTCTTTTCTTAAATTCAAATAGAATTTTAAATATAATATACGTATTTATAAAACTTATAAAATAAGTTTAAATAATCTCATAAAATGTCTGTCTTCGACAGGAGTAAACCTGCCATGTCAAAAATCCGAGTGGTTGCTGGGGACCCTGTACCTCTATCCCCAAATAACTCTGTGCTGAAGGGATTAAATATTTTTGATACGGCGTCACTCGACGCGCATGGTAATCCAACAGTCCGGGCTTAAAGCGATCCCAATGCTGAAAAAGCTAAAAAATAAAATGTGCTCGCAGGGCAGGGTAATTGCTCGAAACCTTCAAAGGGAACAGCTCTCCGCACACGCTGCAAGGTATTAGCCGTATCAACGTGGAACATCAGAACGCTTATGGACGTTACGAGCCAAGCCACTGTCCACACCCTTTTTAAGTATCATGTGGATAATTGCTTGTCGGAGGTTCATCTTCCTTATTTCGGGGTCTCGAGTGATTATTGATCCTATCACTGTGATGCTTCGGATAACCTGGGGCATAATGGCGTAATAATTGTCATGTCTGATAAGGCCCATTCTGCTTTGATTAAGTGCAAACCGGTAAACGACCGTATGGCCTATGCCCGTTTTAAAGATAAGTTCTGCAATATCTCTGTCATCAGTGTGTGCATATGCTCCAACTCTGTCGGCAGATGATCGGGATAAAGATAAGTTCTATGCGGAACCTCAAACAAAGCTTCTACCGAAACATGACATGGTCATCACGAGACGGGAATGCGCGCATAGTATAATATTGTCGATAATATTGACCTCTACAATTGGCAAATATAGATAGCGATGCGCTAATGGTGAACACCTTCTTCGTTATGCCGAAGAGCATGAACTTTTTATTGCTAATACTTGCATCGTAGAAAAAATCTAGTCACGTAGAATTGCCCGGATAACCAAAACTTCAACCAAATTGATTGTTTCTTAGTCAGTCACCTTTGGAAGAATTCCGTACTAAATAGTCGTTCCTATCGCGGAGCTGAAATGGGTAATCTTCATGGATCTGACCATATTATGGTTCGAGCCAAGATCCGCATAGAATTGACAACCCGCAGAAAACAGCATCCCTCAAGATCTGAAAAATATCAAACTAAAATTCGAGGGAGTGAGCTTAAACTGAAACATTTTAAACTGAATTATTGAAGCATCTGAGTGATACAAATATCAATGACTTTTCTGGAACGGCAAATTAATACTGGTCGAAACTAAAGGAATGTCTCCGAAAATGTCTCAGCCACTTCCTCGCTAGGGCATACTAATAGGAGGTGTGCTAGTTGGGTATAGGAAGCAACTGTCCAATTGTCTGAAAAAGTTGCCAAAACACAAATGTAAGGTGATCCGGATGCTTCGAAGATTTACAACGAAAGCAGCACAGTGGGATAGAAATTACTATTGGAGTGACATGGCTTTGAAAATGGAGATGGCGGCTCGATTAGGCGATAACAGGGAATTATTCCACCTTCTTCATAAAGCAACTATAGTTCGGAGAACGATCATTGAAATGGTAAGGGATGGCAATGGCGTCAAGAGTATTAAGAGTATTAAGGATCGCCTCATAAGATGGAAAGAATTCTTTAAGGCCAAACTTAACCTTGAAGCGGATCTGTTCCCCCTGATATAAATGATACGTTCGCTGAACCATATATTTGCAACTGCGAGCCCCCAACAGAAGAAGAAATAATATCTGTTATCCATAAGCTTAAGGCCAATAAGACTCCGGGAGAAGATGGTCTTCGGGCTGAACTGTTTAAATGTCCTTTGTCCTTCATAAGACACCTTCAATAAATGTACTATCTGGGAAAAATTACCAGATTATTGCAGCAAAGCAATTCTTTTTTCTCTTCCAATTCTCAAGAAAGGTGATAGGACATATTTCAAAAATCATCGAGGAATCAACCTACTAGACGTCTCAGCGAAAACTTTTTCTTCTCTTTTGCAATAGACTTAGAAAGTACGAGACAACAGGATGCGCTCTAATCAAACTGGATTCAAACCAGGGCACTGTTGTGCTGACCAGATATTCACGTTAAGAAAGGTGTTGGAACATCGCTTCAGATATTTGCAACCCATTGTCACGTGTTTCATCGACTTTGCGGCTGTCTTTGATTCAATTGATATAGTGGCGCTTTGGAAGGTGATGGAATGCGGCGGTGTTCCAGAGAAGACTCATTCGACTCATAAAAATATTTTATAGGCGTACGTCGGCGCAGGTCTGTGTATATGGGTAACTGACAGAATCCTTCGAAATAATAACTGATGTTTGTCAAGGTTGTGTCCTTTCCCCTACAATATTCAACTATGCGATAGACTAAGTAATGGATACCGCTTGTCGGCACTCATTGAGTGACCAAATCAGCCCAGAGTATCGTATCACAGATTTTGAATACGCTGATGATTTAGTCCTTTTTGCTGACAGTTGTGACGAAATGCTAAATAATGCTAAATAAATGCAAGTAATGTCAGAAAGAATAGGACTCAGGGTATACAAAACGAAAGCCTTTTCGTTTTATGTGCAAGAAACTGATAAAATGACATAGCCTCTTTTTGTAAATTCAGTGGGGAAAATGCCGATTTTAAATACCTTGGGTCCACTCTAATACCAAATGGCCAGGCAAAAGACGATATTATAGCACGGAACACGGCAGCTAGAAATGTGTTCTTCCGGTTGACGAAATCTTTATGGAGCCGTCGTGAAATAACCATTAAAACGAAAGTCCGCATCTATGTTGCCGTGATTCATTCGATCATGTCTCTAAGACATGGCTAATGAGAGTGGAGGATATTAAGAAGCCATCTACCTTTGACCACTCTTGTTTAAATACATTTTACGGATCCGCCAAGATAAAATCGCATATGGTTGTACCCACCTTTGCTCAAATACCACCTCTATCCACTTGTATTAAATATCACAGAGCACGTTGCCTTCGCTGGTTAGGGCACGTTCTACGTCGTCCACCACAAAAGTTGTCGCATATTTCGTTTCTTACTAAACTATGTGATGGATGGGGTCAAAAGCGAGGTAATCAAGACCTGGACTGATATGGTCAGGAAAGATTTTGAACGTATAGGACCAGCAATATATGGACTTAGACGATGGAAAAAAGAATGGCTTCTATTACTGTCGACGATGGTATCAGACCGCGCCGTTTGGAAGCGTCTCACCCTTGTAATCGTTGGAGCCAACCTAACCAGTAATGGTGAGTTAGAAGAAGAAAGAAAAACAGCTCTTTACAGTTCTTTTGATTTCAGAAAAATTAAAATGCACATATGCAGCTATCCAGTTGTTGGTTAACAAGGATCTGCCGGAGGCGCTTTAGTGGCCACTCGCTCTAAATCAAGTTCCGCGGACTCCAGATTCCTGGTTCTGCTTCTGCTCGAGCATAAGTTCAAGTAATTTATATTCTTTCTGAAATTTCCGCGAAATTTGAATATTTAATGAATATACTAAATAAACCCATGGGAAGAATCAGATTAATAGGTTAATAGGCATTTTTTAAGCCAAATGAATGACGAAAAGGGAAGTAAACTGATTAACCTAGTGGAGATTGAATGGAAACTAATTGGAAAACCTGCTACTTTCACTTTAGAGCTATTTGGGAATAGAGAGAAATAAAGGCGCATGGCAAGCTTAATGATATATCGCTAAATTTCATTCCGAGAAGTCCTATTTCGAGACTTCCAATAATTTTTTGCATAACCTGCTATTTGTCGATGAAATTTTTGCTCGAGAATTTTTGAGAATGAATGAGAATACGTAATTTTTTGCAGATTTTCAGAGCGACCTGTACGTATTTAAAACCCTTCGATTTAGAATCATTTAGAAGAAGAAGTCATTTCTCTTTTTGAATCACCTTCGCCGACAGCACTTTCTTTTACTATGCTTATGCAGCTTTATTGTAGCGAAGGCAAAGATTTTTAAAGGAGATAAGGAGATAAAGGAGATATTGCAAAAAAGTAGCATCTTTAGGATTTATTTATTTGTGGCTGATCTATAAATATAATTTTTATAGGTTCGTCTTTGATAAAAAATCAAATGATCAAATCAAAAAATGAACTTAACGAAATCATTCATCGTTGAAACAACGAATTGAATTATTAGCAAAAACTGTTCGCAGCGAACAGGATTCGAACCTGTGCGGGCAGAGCCCATGGTGAAATTAAGCTGTAAAATCTCAAAGTAATCATAACAAGATTTTTAGGTTACTGTATCTGCTTTTTCAGATTTTCATTCCAGATAAATTGTTTTGTCGCACATGGGTGATTAGGTTAACAGAATAAGAAAATGAACTGGATTAGGGCATTTTTGTATTTATTCTTTAGGACTTTGAAATTTGTTTATTTCCATGGTTCTGCAGTAACTAATTTATTTATTTCCATGCTTCTCCAGTTAATTACCAGTTACTTTATCTGCTATTTCTTAAATATTTTTTTTTAAGAATTTTCACCATTACTGGTTAAACTCGTTCTACTGGTTTGTCGCACTGGGCAATAGGTCAGAGAGTCCCTTGGCGATAGAAATACAGGTGTGTCGCTAGCATCACTCGGATTTTTGTATAGATTTACTCCTGCGGGGAATCTAACTTCAGCTTCTGCGCTCCAAATTGAGCAACAACCCACTGAGCCAATTAAGTGCAGATATAGACTATTTGCTTTCGCCTTATTTATCATTTATCATTTCAGAAGTTTGGAATGTATTTTTTTGTTCGCCGGAGAGGACAGATATGTTTCTTTGATCTAAAAAAGCTACAGAGTAACCTAAGAAAACGAAGAAAGGAGAGAGAACATAAGTAGAACTGCTGAAAAGCAAAGAAAACAAAGATTTATCATTTATAAATCTTGCAATGGAAGCAAAATTTATTTTTATTTTCTTATTCTATTATTCTATTATATATTCTATTATATATTATTTACAAATATTTTTAAATTTTTCATGTTTTTATCAAAAAGATTACTCTACTATTTATTTGCGTCAATCATTTTGAAGCAAATTTCTTCTTCAAATTTATTGTTTTATCTTATTTCACCAAAATTTCATATATTTATTCTTATATCTATAGTTACTGTTTATTTTAAAATCCTCACTTTTCTCCGTTTTTGAAAGATAGCGATATTTTAGTTTATAACTGGCTTATTCTTATAATTAAGTTACAGATGTGGGTGAAGGCACAAAATATTTTTACAGTCGTAAAAGATTTCATCACTGCTGAAGAAAACAGTGATGAGCAGCTAGAAACCGAATTTCTCAATGTGATCAACAGTAATCGCCAATTATTATACAGTATTTTTAAAAATGCGGTATTTTTTGAATTTTTAAATATCTAAAACTGCTTAAGTGACGAGATTTCAAAAATTTTCATTATTGCGTTATGCCTTTCATATTTATACATTATGTTTATTTTAGTTACTGCAATATTCCAGGCTAAATCGCCCGCACATCGTATGGCTATTGATAAAGTAGGTGATGTTGTTAGGCTAGAAGATGGGCAAAATGTGAAAATTGATGCTGCACTTCGAGCCGAATCGCTTATTTTATCAGATGCTTTTGACTGTGATGAATTCGAGGCATTGGAACTCGTCATTACCGGTACTTTTAAAAGATTGTTCATAATCTTATATATTTTATGAAAGTTGTTATTGAAAATTATAATTATTTTTACTTTATTATTTATTCTTATTTAAGGAGAAATACAAATGAAACATTTCACGCATTTGACGAGAGGTCTTTGTGCAGTTATTTGTTATTATGATGCTCATCGTTTTTTAAGTGCTACAGTCAAAGTAAGACAATAATTTAATCCTTACAGTGATTAGGCTGGCTTTGCTGGCTGTTTGAGGCGCTTTATATATAAATGTTCATATAAAATAGGTTTTATAGTGGCTCAGTTGATCGCAAACATGGTCTCGATTTTTCTTCATTGAAGTATATTCTATCATTTAGCATTCTTTGGCTATTTAAGATTTACTTATATTGCTATCACTTGACTCTTTGTTGAAATCCTGGTAATCTTGAGAGCCAAAATAATTGCTTTCTGTTAGAAGAAGAGGAAAAATTAAAGTTAAATTTTAACTAAATAAATTTCTAAAAATAAGGATATTGTCGAAATTTTCCATTTGAGGCTACAATTTTGGTATTAAATTTTTCCTTTTTTTTTACTTTTGTTCTCAGTGCCTCTGCCTTTCTCTTTATTTATTATTTATCACTATGTGTTATCCTTAAGATCCAATTTCTCCTGGTTTGCTTTACTGGCGACTAGGGCAAGACGTTTCCATATCTTCCGATCCGATGCCATTTTTGAAAGTAACTGAAGCCATTTCTTTTGTATATCTTCCAAAACTATATATAGCTGTGCGCTAAATCATTTAAAATTTTTCTTGGTTGTATCGGTCCAGGTCTTGATTGGCCTGTTCGTCATCTCTTACAGGGTTTAGCAAGTAGGGAGATCAATTTCTATAATGGAATATGGCCCAGCTCAAGCAATGCTTTGCGACGATGTACAGGTTGTTTTAGCGAAGGTGGATGCAATCGTATGAAGTTCTGTCCGCTTCTTGTATTAAGATACCAAGCATGGTCAGATCTTTCACTCTTTTTGGTAGTATTTCGCAGTCCATTGTAGCACAATTGTATGTATTACAACTTGTATTATTGTATGTATTATTTAAATTTTCTTTTTAAGACTGATTTCCAAAGAAGTTTTGCCATAAACTTCTCTAGCTACAGTCATTCGAGCCAGAATTTCATCTTTCGTCTGGCAGTTAGATATTTAAGATCTAACCTTCCTTTAATCGCTGATAAATTTATAGAAATTGTGGCCTTATCAGCGTCTAGTGTATAAGACGAAATGAGTTTTCTTATAATATATTATACACTGTCTAGTATTCTATATGAGTTTTCTTATAATATATTATACACTGTCTAGTATTCTATGTCATCTACATCATTAACTATTCGAGATCACTGTACTATGTTCTGGACTTTCATATACTTTTTGTATGCTGATACTAGTATGCAGTAAAAGTTTATTTGAAAATTGTGGGAAGAGGTCGCACATCGGGTTCTTATTTCGAAAGATTGTTTCAGTTTCCCCATGACGTACTCATATGTACTTACTAATAATTCTATCTTCTTCTTGTTGGCGCAGCCCTGTCTGTCGAATTGGAAGACCAATGAAGCACCACAGATTATCGATACCTGAAATAATATTCCCATATTTTTCTTCATCTGAAGATTAAATCAGTACAGGCACTTAATGGCATAAATCAAGCTTGGTTTGAGTATAAATCTGTCGGGATTTGGATGGTCCATCGTATTTAAATTTAAATAGTTGAAAATATTCTTTATCGGGGAAGAAGATCTTTAATTGTTTTAACGCGATTTTTATCCTATCTCGGTTCATTTCATTGGCAACTTCTCGAACGTCGGTCTTCCAATCTCGCGCGACCACGTCATTTTTTTGGAAGAAAAAGGTGCTGTTAACAAGTTAAATTCAGCATAGAATCTTTGGTCAGATCATTCTTGCACATTGTAAGGGCATAATTACTGATGATCGAGATATGTGAAATGCCGTACAGGCATTTATAAGGTTCCATACTGATCGTGCTTTTTCGATAAACAATTGACACACTGTTATATAGCCATATTTCTTATCTAAAGCAGATATACAGTTATTCTGGGCAGAGAATTGGTAAGATGGGCTTTAGACAAGAAATGTCCAAGCAATATTTGAATAGGATGTGGACGTTTTTGGCTACATTCATAAGCATTGTAACGTTCCATGCAACCTTAGGCAACTGGTAAAGATGGAGTTGGCTAACATTTGCTTCTTTAATTGGATTAGAGCATTCGAGAGCTTACATAGACTTACTAACTATGTTTTTAACTCGCTTAGAGGGAATAGAGCTGCAGGTGGGTCCTTAGCATCCACAGTAATTGACTTTAATGACAAGTTCTATCCAGATAATTTCGTAATTATGGTAATTATCGAAACAAATTTTTATGAAAACATGAAGGAAACAAATTTAGGTACTTTTTTTCTTTCTTTTTCTTTAATTTTTTACAGAAAAAAGTGTTCTCGTAACTTTGAAACTTTGAACAAATATGTGGAAAGAAAATTTATTTTATTTTCACTACGGTCATAAGAAAGAAAAAAGAAAGGTAAAGGCTAAATGACACAAAAATTAGGCCAAATAAAATTAGAAAAAATTTAAAAATCAAAACTTTAAAATTTCGGTTCAGTTTCTTCCTTAATCGAGAGCAATGCTATGGTTCTATTGCACCGAAGAATGCGCTACTCATTTATAAAATTCAGCGATATAAATTATTTCCATTTCCACCATTTGATATTGATTAACATTTAGTGGTATCAATGAATGTGTTATGACCTAGAAATTTTCAAAGGTTTTCCAGTTGCATAATAATAATTCTTGTACCATATAATTTTATGAACTTATGAACTTAGTCTAATATCTTAATTTGCTATCGCTTTATACATTTATTCTTAAAATTATTTCAGGCTTTAATAGAATTGAAAACCAGTTCTGATATTCAGTTATCTTCACCAGTTTCCAATCTTTTGCATAATTTCTGCATTGATCCCGCTTTAGCCATGAGACTGATCGGTATGTTTTTTTTTATTCTCATGCCTGAAAATAACAGAATTCGCTATCTTGTCCACCACTTAAGACCATTTGCTTTTACTACATCGCCAATATGTTCTCTGCGGAACTTCGTTTTTTTCGTGGTTATTTGATAGAGGGAGTGGACTCAATATATTTAAAGATTAACATTTCTTAAATTTGTGATGAATTTATAAAATAGATATTTTCTCAGCATCTGGTATATACTATGAAAATCTCATTCCATATTGTATTTGAATCTTATTTCATATTGCATTGTAATTATTGTTGTAGAGGTGCTGCAGACGGTTGATGTGCAGTTAGAATTTCAAAATTTACATCAACCTAGTGTCAATGGTTTAGGAGGCTCAAGACATCAACAAATTGTGTGTTTTTGATCTATTATCTTTTAATATTCTTAAATTTTTGTATATTTCTATAATATAATATTTTCTGATTTTGGAATTGTTCTGTGCTTTTTTTGTTTATCAGCGCAATATATTGAGAATGAATTTTGGAAATCATGACATTAGAATAATATCGCATTCTTTTCACTTCTAAGTTCTTTTAATATCTTTATGAATATTTCTCGTCTTATTAAAAAAATTTTTTTTTCAGCTTCGTGAACTCATAGATGAAACTCTATTGAACTGTAGTGATGCACTTTTTTCATTATGTGCATGGTGGCACGAAGATATTGTACCTCCATTTCTTCACAATCTGTTTATTCCTCTAAAATCTCTTCCACCCACTATCCCTTTCCAGAAACAACATCTTTCAGTATGGAATGCATTGCTGATTTTAATATCATCTCATAGTCTATCCTGTAGTTAGTTTCTTTCCTACGATAAAATTTTTGATCCTTTTTTCAAATTTTTTCACAATTAAGAAAATCTTCGAATAAATATTTTTAACTTTTCGTTAGCCATTCCATTTATTTCTGTTCCATAAATTTCAGGACCATGCGCCAAACAATTGTTGATCAGTTTTCGAGATGAGTTACATTCTGGAGATTGGAATGATTCGTGTGTTTGTGCTTCTTTACAACTCGCTTTCATTCTTAGCTATAACTGGCTTTATGTAAATCAATCAACACATCATAGCAAGTTTTTATTTTTGTTATTTGTTTTTAATAGCAGTTCTCACGATTATTGATTAGGCTGGTTATAAGAGTAAGATCTCTCCAAGTTCGATCCTACACCATGTTTGATATTAAAAGAAGCCATTCCACGCTCTAAGCCCATATGTCGCCGCGTATACATTGAAAACTTCCGAATCCAAATATACCAGTACAGATTTTGAATTGATCCTCATTGCTTCTGACATACATCAAAGATTAGGGAGATATCTGATAGATGTCAGTTTCTGAAATGGGCGGCGAAGGACATAGTATAACCAATGTAAATGACGTTTTGTGACGAATCGTGAATGTAGGTTTGAGCGAAGGTGAGTGCAATTATGTGGAATTTTTCTCAGCGAATATATAAAATGTGCTGTCTTATACATGATCGAAGGCAAACATTCTCTTAATATCTCCCACTCTTACTGGGTATGTATCGCAAGTATTTTGCAGAATGATACGTACGGTGACCAGATAAATGTAAACTTTCGTTTTTGATGATTTTGTGACGATTCCATAGAGAATGAAAGAATAGCGAAAAATTGCATTTCTCACTGCGATTGTTTGAATTTCGTCTTTCGCTTGTTTATTTAATATAAAAGTTATATAAAATAGTTAAAGTCTGGCACTTCCTTAATTAATGACGATATACATTGAAATGTATATATAAGGCGATAGTATTTTCATCTTATTTATTTTAATCTTGAATTTCATTTGCAATTATCGATACATTCTCTAGCATCTCTTGCATTTCTTGCATAATTGCTAGCGAAATGATTTCATTATCTGCTTATTCAGGGTATGTGGTATTATGTTCTGTGACTATATTATATGCTGTTGACTGATCTGTACATCTCTTGAGTCAAGCGGTGTCGGTAATCCAATTAGCCATATATTATATTGGTTTCCTGTTTCAATCCTGTACCAGTGTGCGTTGGTAGAATGCATTTATGAGTTTAATGATCTCTGAAATGCTATCATGTTTCACCATCCTTCAGAGTGCCACTCAATCAGTTGAAGACAGCGATAAAATCAAAATAAAAGCAAGTGGACTGCGGATATTTGAAGCACTTCGATCTGGAACTTTGCTATTTCGCTCTGCTATAAGTCCATTCAGTAGAAGAGAAGAGAAAATTCTTTCCAAGATAGGCTAATTCCTCGATAGTTACCACAGTATATCCAGTTAAACTTCTTAGGGATTGGCAGCACGATTGTTTTATTGCAATCATCTGGCACTGATTCTTTCGTTCATACGAGAGAGTATCCATTGGAGGTGAATGAGATGATACAATGATATTTGAAAATTTTCTCTGAGATTGTGGCTCTCGGTTACATATAGTTCATTGAGCATTTTTGCTATATAAGAAATTACAGATTGCGCATCATGGTTAATTTAATTTTAGAAAATTCCTTCCACCGAACAATGCCCTCTTTGAGGGATCCAACAAGAAATTATCATTATCTCATATAATTTCGCTGACTTATGCTTAATTTATGAGAAAGGCGAAATAGCTTCCTATTATTTTCTACTTGAGCATTCATTGTCATCGCCAACAAAGCTTTCTATGCCCACATTATTTCTCTCTTGTTTCTCTTCGAAGTGTTGGATGGCATCCTAATCTGATCTGATAAACTTTTCTCACAGTTGGATCAATGCCCAACTAGCAATTTTCTATGAAGTTTCTATGGATTTGACTTTCGGAACTCACACCTTTATTTTATTCGATACTAATATTCATTGACCATTTTAGAGGTGCCGTTAGCTTTTGCACCCACTACTTCCATGAGAAATATTGGTAACAATTTAAGATCTGCGTAGAACCTATATTTGTCACAGTCATCTGCACACAATAATATACACACTAATAATAAAGGCAATGCAGAATTTTTCTTTAATTCCGGCATAAACCAACCTGTCGTTAATTGACTACTTGGAAATCAGAGCAGATCTAGCTCTTTCAAACATAACAATCGCTATGCTATTTCATTGCGAATTTTTTGAAATAGCGCTATGGTACAGCCGATATCTCTGCCCCAAGCCACGTAAGATTGCTTGAGATCCGAAATTCCTTTCTTTTTTAATAGAAGGTATCGTGGCTCAAGAGCTTATTCTTAGGTGAATTTCCGACCAACAGGTGGTATCAGCACGATATTTGGACAAGGTATGCATGTTTATTGTCTGGTTTCCCATATCCATGACCGTTTTGATGTTCCAAGCTGATGAGTTCTCATTGCATCACTAAGAAAAGTCGACAGAGGTCATTCTTAGATTCTAGAAGTTAGAAATTATTTTACTACTAGGCCCAATTTGCATAGTTATCGTATGTACCACCAGAGTAGGGATACATCGAAAGAAGGAGTTCCGTGCCAGCATATCTCAGAAACCTCGATTTTTTCTGGCAGGTTTTTCCCATCAAGGTCATTCCCATCAAAGAAGAGAAAAGCTGATCGTAAGCATAGAAAAATTAAAGCGAATAATGAACTATATTATTTTATCTTGCTGTAACATTATATTGTAACTATTATAATTAACAAAAAGAAAAAAAAATGTAGAACAAGAATTTTTTATTAAATAGTTTAGTTCAGAAAAAATAATTCAGGAATATTTCGATAAAATACCACTCGTTGGCAAAGTTTAAATTTTCTTTTTTATTTTTTAACTTTTGTTATTGAAAAATTATTGATTATAATGTTAATTTTTTTTCATTTCATATTCAAAAAAAATAAATGATATTCAACAAGTGCAAACAAGCTTTTTTTTTGCCAGAGAGTCTTGGGATGGGACGGGAAATTTCGCTCCCATTTTTCATTTTTATCCATTTCACCTATTTTCATTTTTAAATTTTTTTGCCTTGTAAGACTTTCGTTTTTCAAATTGTGGTATATCCCGCAATGTTTAATATTCATCACTTGCCATCCCTTTAAATTTGGATTATTTAATTATTGGTCTTTTGGATTGTTTTATCTCTGTCCTAAATTTTTTAGTTCTGGATTCATTTGTAATTGACGCTAATGAGGTTCTCGAAAAAGCTATAAATGGAATGGCGTTTCAATTTATTCGTAAATGTGTGATACCACTTCTTCAAGCTCAAGAGAATACCGTCGCATTTGAAATGGTTGATTCTATGTTAAAACAACTTATTGCTCACTTTCCAAATAAGGTTTTTATTTCATTTTGCTTCATTTTATTTTCATATTATATTTTTAAAATCATGTATCAATTTACACTATTTTTTTCATTATTAAATTTTTTTTCTATAAGTTCTATAAAAAATTAAATTGTTTCCTATTCCGAAAATTGTTGCTCATAAAATTTAATTAAAAGTGGGTAAAATGGTTGAAAAATATCATTTAGCCAATTGACTACTGATATATTTATTATCATCAATTATTATTATTATTAACTATTATTATTATTATCAGCTTATTTTATTTTTGGTGTTAAATTTTCGTTCATTAAGGATATAAATTGAATCAATGTTGCTAGATCTCATTAGAAGCCATGTTTCTTTTAACTATCCTGCCTCATTTATTAATTAAATTTTATGACAATTTTCGGAATATGAAATAATTCACTTTTAGACGTAAAAAGGTTTTACCTTATAAATTCTTCTAACAATTTTCATCATTAGTGGTTACTGGCTCTGCTGGTTAAAGCGTTTCTAAGCTGTTCAATCCGTTGCCATTATTGATAGTAATAGAAGCCCATCCTCTTTCTATTGTCTAAGTCCATATAGCTGGTCCTCATATTTTCAAAATCATCGATCACAAGGTTTAGCAAGCAACGAAAAATGTCAGCACTTGTGCGACGCTTCGTGATGATATTGTTAATGGAGGTGGTATTTGAGTGAAGGTGGATGGGATCAGGTGGAGACTTTATCAGTTCTCCTAACCTGTAAAATATATCTTAGATATGGTCAAAGGTAGATAATTTCTTAATAAAAATTAAAAATTATGAGTTCAATTTTTTTTTCTATGGAGTTGAATAAATTGTTAAATTCAGTTAATGATACTACAACGAGTATGTGAAGAGGAGTTGCTATGTGCAGAGGAGTTGCTTGAACAAGGTCAACTTTATCGCCCAAATTTGCATTTCGAAGTTTTTATGAGATGTATCGCAGATCTATATGATGGTGAATCATATGAATTAATTGCATTATCTTCTCAGTATTGCTCCTTTCAAAATGTATATTTTATGAAAAATATCTATTCAAATTATTTTATTATTCGAATATACTTGTATTATTTTCTATAGTTTCGAATTTGCGGCACTTATATTTGTGATTTCATTAATTCTATCAAAATATTTTAGAAAAATTATCATCTTATTATGGTGTATCCACTGTTTACATTGTTTGTGTTGCTGTTGCAGCTACAGAATTTCTCTGAAAGTATATACAGATAAACATTATTTTTCTTATTTCAGGAGGAACTGGTAAAATTTATCAAAAATGGAAAAAACCTTGTTTCGCCCGTTCTACATGTTGCTTTTCTCGATATGGTAAAGAATTTATGTAGATGCAAATCATCGGCCAACTTTCTTTTTGAATTGCTACTTTCAACGGATTATTCTAAACAGGGTATCGTCAGTTATTTAAGAAATGAAAAAAAGCTAGATTAAATTCTAGAAAAAAATAGAAATTTATAAGATTCAATAAAAAAAGAATCTGTTCTTTCATTTAATCAATTAAACTATAATGATATTGTTTAATCAGTGAGTTAAAGTTTAGATTAAATCAAAGAATCCTTTTTTTTTTAAAGTCCCATAAAACGTAGCGAAAATTTTGTTCATTTTTTGTCATTTTATATTTATCTACTTAACAAATAAATTCTTAGACACTGTAGAAAATAATTTCAGAGATTTCGCTATCGTGGAATCATTTCTGGAAAGCAGTGCGTGAATACTTGAATCTTTTTGCTACGAAAAAAGTTCATGCTCCGAATATCGTTCATACGATTGGTTCAAAAACTGATCATAGTCAAGAAATCTCACAGACTGAGATGGCTGGCCTTCTTGTATGGATACAGTTGTCTGAAGTTATTGCCAAATATGTATTTTTTTCAAATTTTAGCCAGATATTTTCCGTTATTTTTTCATAATGATGCATTATATTGAAAGATTAAAAATTAGAAAGGTTTATTCTGTAATGAAAAAAATCTATTTTTAGGATTCTTATGCACGTCGACAATTTATTGAACATAATACTTGGCAGTGTATTGACACTGTTACAGGTTTACTTGCTTCTGCAATTCAACTGGTGCTGAAAGGGGCACTTTTACGTTTTTTAGCGTCTTTGGCTCTAGAAGGAATGGGAGTACCTAAAATTTGGATTGCACTTATATCTCATTCAGTTCTCACCGAAAATTTGAGTGGGAAACTGATGGGAATTCAAGTAAATTTTAACTCTTTATGTTTTTTGATATTTAATTTTATAGAAATTTTTTTTTTAATATTTTAATTTAGCAAGAGTTAGAAGATCGTGAATGCTCAATTAAACGTTATTATTCTTCACTTGGTCTGCTTCATTTGCTTAAAGAAATGTTTCTACACTCCGTGATAATCGTTGATAAGCAGCATCTTCTTCCATATTTGAATTTTGTTATTAAGTCCATTATCTGTCAGTGCGCTAGTCGCTCTTATGAAGATATTGACCAAATGGTAAGTTCTTATAATTACCGTAAAATTATAATTTCTTAATATTTTTAGAAAATTTTCTTATAGATGAATGTTTTGAAATGATTGTTATAATTTCTCACTGTTAACAAAAATTTCAGTGGGAACTCTATTCTGCTTCATGTGATGCTCTTTATAGTCTTATAAATTATTATGTCATTACCTCAACTTCGCTGATCAATGATCATCCACAGATTTTTGTTTTGAGACAGTTATTTAGTGATTCAACATTTTTTCGCGCGGTTATTTTTTAATTTTATTAATCCTTTTTTTATTAATTTTATTAATCCTTATCCTGTCTAATATGTTGTTGAATTTTCTTATATATGCGATTTAGTGGTTGATTTGCTTCAGTCGGTTTTAATTGATGAAATTATTAGTAAGTGTCGATTAATTTAATAATAATTACACTGCACAAAGATTTATAAAACATTTGAACATAAATTAAAGATGTTGCAGCTAGGAAATGTGTTAATTGAATGTGCAGAACGATTGGCGGACTATTCAGTTAGAAATAAAAAGCGTGAACAAGCAGCGCTTTCAGCTTTGCGTCTTCTCGATGTTTGTATATTGCGGCATGATTCTTTTGTTGATGCTATTCGTTCAACAGAATCCAGCATTATGGTCAATTCATTGGATTCACTACTTTTGCGGCCTATTCCAAAGCGTCCAAATTTTGCATATGCAACGGTTATTGCATCTTATATAATCCAGGTGAATAATCCATGCAACGTTTGTACTCTTTCCTTTTTGTTGCACTCTTTCTAGTTTGGCTGGTTTTTCAATTTAATTGCTTACTAAAAGAGGGAGAATTTTTCGCAAAACAATCATTGGAAGATGCTTGCGGATGATCTTCACCACTCCGATTTCGCTTTATGTTTTGCCTTTATGATTTCACTTTGCTATAGCCCCACTTTAAGTCGTACCATTTATTCACTGTTTTTCTCTCGATTTTTATCACTGTCAATAACTTTTATGTTACTTTCATTTTTTTAATCTATTCCAAAAAATAACTTTTTGATTTGCATCTCAGTTTCAATATTGACCAGTATTGAAAATATTAATGAAATTAATAACTTTTCCGATTAATTCACATAAAGAATTAAAGAATTAATTTGCTTTTATTTTAGTCAGATTTATTGCCATATCATTCCTATTATGCAATTTCCATATTACGAGAATTGTGTAGCACACGAATTTCGCATCAGTTGCGTATTGTCCGTTGTTTATCTCCGCTAACAGAAAAATTAATTGAAGGATGTGCTCGTATTACTTCCACAAGTTTTAAATCGCTTACAGTCTCTCCTCATGATTCTCCTTCTCCTCACGGTTTATTCTTAATGTTGTTTTTTATTTTTATTAAAAAATGGATGTTTGTTTATATCCATTTATGATATTAATATAATGAAATATAATTAATATAATTTTTTTTTTAGAAATTGATTCTCTATCTATTTCTCAAGTACGAGGAGAAACAGCTAGGGCACTTCTCGAAATGTTCATTTCATCTGTCGAGATTGCTCCTTCATCTGCAAATATCGCTTATTTATTATGCGGTTTGGATTTAACAAATCTTAAAGAGACTACTGTTGAAGGTCCAGGTATGGCATATTTATATATTCTGCTTGCCGTTTATTACTTTTATATGGGCTTATTTTCAGGTGTAATTGGATGCTCAAAAACTTCATTACATAGTATTGTTGAGACATTGAATATTTTAGCAACCCACGAAAATCCTCTTGAATTATCATATGCTGCAATTTTTGAACCGGAACTCAGGTTTCTCGTGGGTTTTAATATAGATAAATTTTAAAAATAATTTAAAAATAATTCTCATTTGCTAAATTTCTATAAATGTTGCAGAAATGTTGCATAAATTTTAAAAATAATTCAAAAATAATTTTCATCTGCTAAATTTCTATAAATGTTGCAGACTTTGATGCTGCAGAAGGGGGAGAGGGAGTTTAAAGAATTAAAGGACATAAAAATAGTGAAACTGCATATCAAACAAACATTTAGAAAAATTCATGCTGGTAGTAGTGAGTTGCTATAATTCTATATATTTCAAGCGTTATTTGAGCGTTATTTTATGAAACTTTCAGTTACGCTTGGTATCAGTTAATGCAATATGTGCTCCAGCCGTTCTGCGATTTTTGCGCTCAAACCATGACTTAATCTACAGACTTGCTTCATCACAGCTTTTTGTTTCCACTGATGGCTGTGCGGAAGAAGAAGATAGTAAAATGTTAATCAATTTACGTCGCTTTCTGCAAGGATCAGTGTTATATTTGAGTTCTATGGAATTGTCATCTCTTTTGAAGATAGGGCATTTCAGGTTTTTTACAAATAATTTGATGATAATTCATTCTTTAAAATTATTTTTCATCGCTGTGAAAGTTTTCCACAATTCATTTGCAATTTCACAATTTGAACTAAAAATTTCAGTTCTTTAATTTTCATTTTGAATCCATTTGTAAATTAAAAACATTCATCCTCTTCAGCCAACCGGAGAGGTTCTATAGACTTATGCTTTGCGTAAACGGTCACCAGGAAGAAATGGATGAAATCAGCGAATCGAATCGCAATTTAACTGAACCTTCGTTTATTACATTTGATTATTTTAATCGCAAAGAAAGTAGGGATTTTAATTTATTTTAAGTATAAAACAAGGGCAAAGTCATTTGTTGGAATTAGTGATAACGAATAATGCCAAAGTAAAGAGGAATAGAAGTGAATAAAATATTAAAAATAATAAAAAGCAAAATAAACAAGTAACAAAGATCTGAAAAATTGCATGGATAAGGGTTGATTTTTTTTGAGAGCAGGCATCATTACTGGTTTAAGTCCCTCCTCTGGCTTGTTACAGATATTCTAAGGAATTCATTGGCGATATAAATGCAGTATCACCCGGATTTTTTGGCTAGGTTTAGGGAATAGAATTTCAGCATCGGCGCTCCGAATTAAGCAATAATTCACTGTGCCATTCTATTTTCCTTTGTTTTTCTCTTTTTTTTCAGTTAGATGACTCTGCCGCTCGACGAAGAGTGGTGGATTCGGATTCGGCGGATTCGAATCCAAACCACTGTCTTGCCACTGAGCCATAACTCTCGGTTCTCGTTGGCAGTTATCTTGCCATTGAGCTGACGCACCCAATACCCAATATGTCAACAGATAGAGAAAATCGTAGCCTTCGCTTATATTTAAAATTTCACATTTATGTATCGATAAATTATCTTTCTTGAGACCAAATAACTACATTGTTTAAGATTATATTATTTAAGATTACCATGCGAGGAATAAATTTTACTACCGTTCTCATATAAATGAATAAATATTATACTTTAATTCAAGACAAAATTATTGATCAATTAACATATAATTTAAAAAAGCAGTGGGTATACGTAACTAGCTTGGAGTATACGGGGCTTATTGACGATTATGTGCTGACGGCGAAATTAGTAATGGTGGGTTACTAACATTTGCTAGTATTCCAACATTTCTATTAGCTTAAACACTAGGTTAATAACCCGGTCTAAACTCAGCTTAATTGGGGCGCATCCTTTTTGCCCTTATTTAAAAGGGAAGCAAAAATTTTCCCAAAGAGGTCTAGTAGGCTGATCCTTTGGTAATTGGACATCCTTTCTTAGGAACTAGTAGCAAAATTGCTATCAATTGTTTTGATAGACAGGTGATTACATTTTGTTTTTTTAAAGTTTTTAAAATTATCCAAGCTGTTTTAGGTGAACCCCTATTGTGGAAGATAATAAAGTCAGTAAATTTGAACGAAAACATTGAGTCACTCAAGTTAGAATTGCTTGATGCGAATAAAATAGAAAAGGTGAATCTTTTTCTGAATTTTGTGATATTATGATAATATGATAAATAATGTTTTTTTAAGTCGCAATGTGAGTTGCGCATCAAAATATGTCAATAATTTTTTATATACTTCGCTGAGTTAAAATGAATTATATGAAAAATAAAATGAAAATGAATTATCTAAATTGCCGTCAATCGCTAACCTTCTAACATTCTCATTAAGAGCTCTATTGTTAAGGGCTTATATTCGATTTCAGTTGTTAACATTATGTACTCGACCAGTCTCTTCAAATATTTCTCAGTGTGATATACACCATCTAAATTGGTTGTTGCGTAGAGAATCCATCTCATTAGCACCAGAAATGCAACCAGATTATCTAATAATTGTCTTAAAGGTGGATTTTATTAATTTGGATAACTTTTTTTCCATTGAATTTTGTTTCTATTCGTATTTATTTAATGATATGCTTATTTCATCATTATTTTTAGGAAATAGAGCAAGTTCTTCGATATTGTGCTGCTTACAATTTACGTAAAAGTGGTGAGGCTTCGGTCAGATTGATAATTTCAGCCTGGTTATCCTTTTTAAATACTATCGCTATATTTGCTCCGGTACCTTTTATTAGTTGTGGTATGCATTTGATTTCACATTGATAGATATTTCAATCGGTGAAAATAAATTAATAGCAGAATGACTTGTTTGTAAACGAAATTTGAAAACGACGCAATTTATCCGTGAAAAAATGAAAGTGTTGGCGGCTCTAGAATTTCTTGCTTTTAAGGTGCTTGGCCTTAGATATGCCTATTTTTATTATGCTTTGAAGATGCTCATATCGGCAGGCCCTCAAGTTTTATAGATTATCTCTCAAGCAAATGATGAATTGGAAGTGGTTTACCAAAAATTGCAAACATTGCAAACATCAACTAGGGCTAATTAGCAAGAAAAGTCCAACAGATTTTCAAAGCGAAAAAAACATTTTTAGAAATAGCGGATCATGAAAATGGCTTCTGGCATTTTATTAGTTCCAGAAATCGTATTTTCAAAATGCTGATTTTAAATAACTACTGATTTTCAATAAAACTGTAGTCCTTCAAAGCTAAAAAAGTGCTGGAACTTTTCGAATATGTCCTAATAATTTATCTTTCAGTATATATCCAGAAAAAATTCATATATCCTCTAAAAGTTGTTATATTTTATGGAGATTTTCTGATTGCCGTTAATTATTTTCTTCGCTAATTTTCTTTTCATCCTCATCCCAATTCCAATTATTAAACCATGCCAACGCCGAAGACCTTTTCTTCCTCAGCACGTTGGTAATATCTAGTAGCATCGAAAATTTCTTAGACTCCACATCCTTCCTCAGTGTTTACAGATATTCTCTTCGAAAATTTCTCAGAACCTGTTTTATTCTTGGGACTTACATAATCTCATTGGTTCTCTTAAACATCTTGTCAAATTGAGTCATATGCTTTTCTTAAAATCGGAGGTTGGTTTCCTCGTCTTTAATTGGCACATAAAAAATGTTGAAATGTTGAAATTTTTGATATCTTTTAGAGTATTATGTTTGGCGAAAAATTTTGGTATCCTCCATGAAAGCGCAGCTATACCATGATCCAATAAGCCAGTGTTCATGTCATTTTGAATCCCTTTTTTTTCTAAGTTCTAATATTATCTCTCTTACCTCTACCTCTGACCTGTCTCAACTCTCCATCAAACTCCGTAAAGCGCTTTTGCCATGGGTATGTAATATAAAATGGTGAATTGGAGTTGACTGGAGATCTCAAAGAATCGGGTACAAGTTCTTGAGAAAAAAGTTGACGGGGCCAGTAAGATTGGAGAGGATCTCGGTGAGAGAATATAGTAACTTTTGAAGATCTTAATGATTATTTTAATTATTTATTCTTATTAAACGCACGTTTTTATCAGTTTTTAATAAAAGGTGATGTATTCATTTTCTGCGGTTATTTTTTAGATGTACAAATCAATATTTTGGCAGATGCTGTTTGTTTACTTGTGCATTTTGGTATCAATTTGGATATGGATCTTAAACTCTCTTCGGCGGTTTCTCATTGTCTATTGAGGTGAAATTTCTTGAAAAAATATGAGAGTATAGATAACGATATTGATTTATTTATGATAAAGGAAAATTTAGGATGGTGCATTCAATTTGTGATATTTTGCGACAGATGGATTTCGATGAGGAAATTGTTAGAGATGAGATGGCTTCTGTTCTTAATCTCATTATTCGTTATCTCATAACGCCAGGTTTATTTGAAAATATTTATAATTGAATTAATGGATAAAAACTGGTTATTTTATTCATGCAGTTAGTTATCTTGAACTCGAATAAGTGAAGTGAAGTGTATAAATTTAAAATTTACATAACAGTTGATTTTTAGGTTGCCGTTCTCTTCAAAGTAAACTGGATCTCTATGGTTGTTTAATGTGTGCGCTAAATTTTTTAAGTGAAAAATTTACATCCAATTTGCGTAAGGAAGACTCATTAGAAATTCATTCTTTACGAAATCCATTTGGTGCAATGTCAACTTTTAAACCGCTGCATAATAATCTTATATGTTTAACTCTTGAAAAATATGGAGAAGAACTGGTTCGAAAATTATCTGGCGATATTTGTCATTCGCCACAGAATTTGAAGGTATGTCTATATGTATATATTTAAGAATAATTAATTATTCAATCCTATATAATTCCAATGGTTTATTGCTATCAAAAAATATCATTTTTCAATATCTGCTCCTATATTATTGTGATCGGGTTTAGCATTTTCTCATTTTATTAACTTTTACTTACTTTTATCATAGAAATTTTTTTAAAATAATTGTTAATTATTGCAATTGCGATTATTGCGGACTGTAGGTTTCAATGATTAAATCATTAACATTGTCTCGAGACGTCACTGGATTGTTGATAAGTAATGCTTCAATATTGTTTCTCGTTACGATGTGTTGATGAGTTGGAATGTTATCGTTCAAAGTTTGTGTGCATGCATCAGCATAAGCATTATCTTTTCGAATGACGTTAAGGATGGGGCATTTATCCTAAAGATGGTTGATGGAGAACTATTAGCCAGAAATTAGTTTCATATATCAGTATGGCTTTAAGCGGGAAACAGAGTTATTTGGTTTGTATAATCTGGTTCAAATTTTATCCCACAAAAAAATTTTTGAAAATTTTTTTTTCTGAAAAATTTCCATATGAACTCTTTCCCATTTTATTTTTTAAAGTGGGCTTTAGAGGAATATCTCAGAAAAAACAGCAAACAATTGCGAGTTTTCTTTTCTCTAAATTAAATGAAGTTTATAAATAAATTTTGAAATTGACAGTGAATGAAGAAATTAACCTCTGTTTCGAGGATTCCTAATGTGACATAGTGGTTGAGCTGACAATCAGAAATGAAATTTAGATGGTTTAGGCTATCAAAACTTGTAATTTCTGGTCGCATTGTGATCGGGCTTTTATTTTCCATAGGAACTGGCAGGTAGAATCTTCCGGGTAGCCAATAAACTCTACTGTAATTTACAATGATATTTTTTAATTGTTATTTAATAACTGTGCGAGTATTATTATTTACCTGAATTTTGCGTGAATTAGATTAATAAATAGCGATACGATTGATAATCCGATTAATAAATATGCGAAAAGAATTATCATAAGGGTAGAATTTTCTGAAATTTAGTCGATTATATAGTGTTGAAAGTAATACGCTTGGGTTCATTCGGAATTGCTTTGAACGAATGGAAAAGAATTCAAGTGGGTTTGGTCTATGAATTGATTCTTATATAGCGGAGGAATCCACTTCCAGCCAATTTATTCGCTTTATTAGATCAGTTAAAGTATAAATATGCGAAATATGGAACGCTGACCGTCGTCAATATTGATATCACCGACACCAATCGTAGTTAAAGAATTGAAAATAAAATAAAAAGCAATAATTGTTTCCATCCGAGGCAAGTATAGATGTATAATGAAGCAACCAAAAATCATCCATCCAACAAGGGCTAATATTGCAACTATTATTGGTATCTCTAGTAGGTTATCTATGTTTCGAATCCTAAAATTTTTCTAGTTTTTTTTTTTCTGATAGGAAAATTAAAGTTTTTTTTAATAAAATAGATTTGATCACTCGATTGATATTAAAAAATACGGGATGTATTTTCATTCTTTGTATTATAAAATTTCTATTATAAAATTGTGGATCTCCATTTTGAACAATTTTTAATTTAAAGCATTAAAAAATAAAAGAAATTCGTTTCAAGGAATGTTTCTTATTTAGAAATGAAAAAATAGGCGATTGAATAAACGCAAAATAAAAATAATTATGAAAAGTTATCATTGAAGATCTTTCATTGAAAAACTGTAAAATGAGAAGGCACCTGCAATCTTTGTGATAAGTAGTTTCTTGTCCATGTATACATCTTACTAATTCATTCTCGTCAACTGTTTCTAAACTGCAGTAGCGAAATATCGACCACATGTGTGCTAAAATTCGATTTAAAATTAACTAATTCTATTTTGATTCGAAATGAATATTTCAGAATTTTAATTTTCTAAATTTTTATAATGAGAAAATTTAAACATTTACATAAAATAATTGATGGATAATTCAATAATTTGGCAATAAGGTAGGCGAGGTTTTTGATAACAATAATTGTAAATGGAATGCCAAAGATTGCACAACAAATTGACAAATAACGGCCAGCCTTTGTTACCGGATGTATATAGCCATAGCCGATAGTAGTTATTGTTGAATATACCTAAATTCAATTCGAGATTTTTTTCTTTTTATTAAAAATTCTTGCGAAATTCTTAAGTCGAAAATCTCGATATAGGTATCTAGGCTAAGGTTCAGCTGATTTCACATTGAAAAGCCGATAAATCAGATGGAATGCTAGGTAATTTGCTTACAAAGTTAAGAATTTTAATAACGGTGAACTCGTTGCAGATAAATTTATTCAATATAATTGTTAATCTCAAATAAATGATTTAGTTAATAATTCATTTAATCGAAATTTAAATTTTTGGCTAAATTTTTTCTTTAGTTTTTTTTAAAAATCTTCGATATTTTGTGGAATAAACATTTTTTTAAAAAAAACGACTTACATAGATAAGTGAATTAATAAATGTACAGGTAAGCACTGGCACCGGTGGTTGTATTTGCAGTAATTTTTCATATTCATTTATTTTTTCGTTAACAATATCGATGAGATACTGTGATTTATCTTCATGGATAAAAACAAGAAAACGACTGTTATTGAAAATTTGTGGCAAAAGTTCATTAGTAATGAATCTAGAAAATTGCGACTTTTTGTGCTAGTGAAGTTTAAAATAACCTTTCTTTATTTAATTTTATAATTAATGTTGGTGAATAAATTAGAAAGGCTAGTTAGAAAGAAAGATTAATTAGCGGACCGATTTCTTCGAACGGCAAGTTTTTGATACCATTGAATGCGAAACGTATTCATATTTTTTGATTCGACAATGAAGAATAATGAAGCAAAAAATAGTGAATAGCTTAAATAGGCGATAAAAAGAAAAAAATATTTGAAACCGAATTTATGATAAATTTGCTTAAAAGCTGATACGATGCGAATGGCTATAGCGTTTGGTATACACATCCTGAAGAAAAATAATCCTATTTATTTCTGGGAACGCTCGCTCATTTTGTTCGCTAAGTTGTTGGATGAGGCAAACTTTTTTAGAACTATGGGTCGCCATCTTCACCAGGGTTTTTAAAGGGTAGATTTATTTCTACCAGAAGTTGACTTCCAGCATTGGCTCTTCGAATTGCACATTGAAAATGGAATTCGAATGACTGCTGAAAATCCATTTATATTTCTACACCAAAGCTATACAGTAATACCTGTTTGTTCCAACCAAGCCAAAGAGTGGTATTTTTCGAAGGAGTAATCTTTTCCATTTTCTACAGGTCATGCTATAATTTTATTCTGTAATGTATTTTGACTTAAGGAAATGTAGTTTTAACTTAAATTGATCATTAATAGGGATTAATAACTGAAGGGATTAAAGTGGTCATTTATTCGAAATGGAGTAGAAAATTATTCAAATGGAAAAAGTAGAAAGTGAATTATGGATATACGAATGATGTTAATGAAAAACCGACTGATTTCTATGCTTATTTAAGAATAAGTTCAATTTAAAAGAAAGAAGTAGCTTCCTTCATTTCATAAATATTCTTTATTATTGCTTCTTTTCATTATATCTTTTCAGTGCCTTACAAAGATATTTGGATAACCTCGTGGGAATTTGCTACATTTCCTTGTCATAAAATATTCGATCCATTTAATTTTCCATTTGAGAGGATTTATTTGTTTGGCAGTTGGATACATCGTAGTTATTGCTCTCAATATATATATATATATATCTTGCTTGTTTCGAATAGAAATTTTAGTTATAGTTTATCAATGCAGAGATGAGACCGGAGAATAGAGCTTAGCATAATTTTACGTGAAATTAAATCTCAAGATGTTACAAGAATTCTGAAGAATGAATTTATTTCCTCTAAGCATTAATGAAAAGATTTTTTTATTTAATTGTAAATTATAATTAATTATAAATTAAGTTATTTAATTTAATAAATTTGAAATTATTTTAAGATGTTAAGAGTTGAGAATTCTATGGAAAAAGTATTCTTCAATAGAATTATGCAAAATCGCCAAACGATATCAATCATCTTTCGTTCTTTAGCTCATTTAGTGTTTTCCTTTTCTTATTTAATCAGATTTTTCTTGATTTTTTTATGGCTATAAAATCTCCATAATTCTTCATACGAATTCGATAGATGTATTGCCATTTACCGCCAGTTACTTTCATGTTATTTTTTACAATTTAAAGATTCATTATTGCGACCGTGACAAAAGTGCTTCACGAGGTTCGAAGGTGCATGATAGGACGAATGATATTAAGGAAACTTCACTTGGAAATGAGTAGATTAAAGTGGTAAAAAGGGTTTCACCACTGAAGTAATGGTTAAAAGGCAACAGTGGACTTTGAGATTTCAAGGTTTAACAAAGTTTGGAAAGGTTTCTCATAAAATATGATGGGTTTATTGTGATCGGAGAGTTTCAGCGCAAGGTAATATTGGTATTATGATGGATTTTTTATATAATTAATGGATTATGACAAAATTGCGAAATTCAGAAGTGTTTGTGGGGAAGCAGAGCAACATTTATAAGGGAGCTTAAAGAGGTGTTTCTGTCGGATTTTAATAAAAAACTCATGCGATTTCTTAAATACTTTGATAATGCATTAAGGATAAACATAGCTCATTAAACTGGGTTTTTGAGAAGATAGTGGCTTTTGAATGGTTTGAAAGGTTATGCAGCGCGTCTAAGTGAATGTTAAAGTGAATTAAGGATGGAATGAAATACGGAAGATGGATAGGAGCTTAAAGGGAAATATTTCCTAAAGAGAAATATAATAAACCATAGACTAAAAAGAGTCTTCACTAAATTTAAAAGATTTTTGCAGATGAGTTTTTTTTCATTCATAGATATAGATAGTATAGTTATTTCACTTTAAAGTGGAAGTTCAACTTAAATTTATCGAGTTTTCTCACAAGCAATGAAATTTTCCAGTTTTGCAGGTTGTAGCAATATCATGTCTAACGCAAGTGTTAAGTGAAGATGCTTTTGAATCACAAAATCTTGTAATTTCTTTCGTTCATACTGGAGCGCTTCAACATTTGTTGGATTCCATAACAGCGATTTCTTTTGTCGATGATAGAAATTCAAGGCGAATTTATGAATACGTATCGCTTTTGAAAACGATAATTGTAAATTTTTTTTAATTTAAATTTAAATTTAATTTAAATTTTAGCGATAATTGTAATAAATTTTCTTAAAAATATTCAGTACTTTTAATGTTCATATTATTGATTGAATGAATTCGTATTCAGACGTTGCTGATACAGTTATCATTAACAGAATGTGGGTGGAATTTTTTGAACGATCTATGTGTACTTGAGAAATTAGCTTCATTACAACTATGGCAAAATCCACCTAAGGCGTTATTTTTGGATCCAAAAGAAGTGTCGAAATCGACGTATGCTATTTCGAATTTGAAAATTGATTATCAAAACTTTTTTCAAATTATCAGTCTTCTTTTTTTATTTTTATTTTGCAGGAAGGTTAATGATGACATCGATGCTAGGAAATCTGATATTTCTCAAACATATATGGAGTGTATCAATAATTTAGTTCATTTTTGCCTTTCATCATGCTCAAATCCATATTGGAAACGAATATCGCATCAGGTTGGATATTTTTTGACATTTTTTATTTCAGAATGAATATTGCGTCTTATGAATTCGAAATTAGAAAAAAAAAATTGTTTGGAATGGTTTGAACGGCCACTGCAACCAATCGCTTCTGTGCTAGTGCATCTCTTTTTTTCCATATTTGCTTATCTAACGAGAATTTTTATGGAATAGTAATTTTATTCGAGAATTTATTTTTATTCATAAGTCACTGCCATAAATCTGGAATTTATATTGGGCTGAATGATAAATCCTGGTGAAAATCTTTAGATATTTCGAAATTTAGGGCAAAAAGAATTTGAAGAGTTTCTATTCTTATTAATTGATGTAATTTCTAATTCGTAGGAATCAAGTTCCAGTTTAATAAGCATAGTTTCAGTTCGGACAAAATTTCGTCGTGAATTGCGCAAACTTTTCCCCTTTTTTTGATAATGATTTGTATTTGTATTCAGGTGATAGCAATGATAACGGTCCATTGCGAAGTGTTTAATCATCTTATGAGGAACAAGTTGCAAGGCACCTTACTGTCATCCTGTTGCAAGCTTTTGTCACATATATACTTTTTAGGTTCGATTATACTATGGGTTTTCTTCATTGATTACTGATTTACTAAATATCTAAATCTATATGTATCTCTCTGCAGAAAAGTGGAATGTGAAAGCGATATTCCTTTGATATTGACGGGCATCAGCCTACCAATTGGGAAAGATTAGGGATATTGCTAGCGACCAACTTTTATTCTTTTCGCCATATGATATCCTGACGGAAGTTTCTAACTATCCTAGTAACCAACTGATGTTAGGCTAAACGAATATGGCTACCATTAAGCATCTCTTTACATATTTATGTGTATTTTAGCCCTTATTTTGAAAAAGAATTTGTTTATTCGTCTTTTTCATTTTAGTTGTCAGAAATCTATAGTCGATGTAATTTCAGATACCAGTACGCGGCCAATCATCGAACAATCGGTTTGTCTTAATGAATTGAGGAAGTTAGAAAAAAAAGGCGATGAAAAAGTTGGCAAGCATTTTTCATAATTTTTGGGCTGTTTGGTAAATTTTTATTAAAATTTGTAGATTTGAAATTTAAAATAATTTATAAGCGTTGCAATATTTATTTTCATTTATGTAATCCTTTTTCATATTTATTAGAAAAGGTAAATTATAGATAAATTATTGTTGAAATAATCGTAATTTATCAAAAATAAAAAAATAAGGTAATAACTATCATTATTACATTCTTCCTCCTTTTCATCTAAATTATTTTCCATTTGTCATTTGGTAGACTGGCTTTGCCAGGTTCATCAGAGAATCATTTACCAGCTGGATTTCGCATTAAATAAAAGTTTCACTTTCTTCAAAGACCAGAAGTCGAGCCCATAATGTTTAATTCAAGTTGAAGGAGCATACTCGACCACTATTTTGATTTAAGGAATCACCTGATTTTTTATGATCGAATTTCATATTTTTAATTATGCGCGAAAGTTTTTATTAATAAGGTTTAAATTTAACAAATCACCTTTCAACGGATTATTTAATAAAATATTTATAAAATTTATTCAAATAATTGAGTTTAAATGCAACAAAAGTCAATTTATTTTTAAAAAAAATAAAAAATAAATTAGTAAATACAAATATTATGCAGTAATATGCAAATTTAGTTTTTCTTTTATTTATATAGATTTTTCAGGGGAATGCGTATATCTTTCGTAGATTTTTTGAAAGGATTCATAGGCAAAATGTGACCAATTTCCAACGTCTATACATACATATTTATATATATATATATATATATATATATATGTATTTTATACTTAATGATCTTTACATGAAAAATAGTTTTGATATTATGTATTACATCCATTGCTTTCATCGTATCTACTGCTTTTTTAAATTTTTTTTATAATTGTTCCTTTTTAAATTTTTATTTTATTTATAACAGTCTTATTGTTCTGTTGTAAACCTGCGATTTATTTTTGGTTTATTTGTTATAATATGTTTAAAAACTTCTTTAAATGATATTAGTACGATTTAAAAATATATCCATCGGTTAAAACGACAAATCCGATTGTATTTCCCTATGTTTTTTAGTATCCTACTAAACTCGACTATATTTTTAAAGTTCACTTTCCGATCTGTTTGTTTAGAGATCTAATTAGCTAGTGATAATATCCCCTATATGGTCTCCAAACTTCGACGCACTATTTATGTCAAAACCAATTATATTTCTCTTGTGCTTTTTCGTACTTTGATGCAGTGTTTTGCTAGTTGCAGCTGTGGCAAATGCAGAAGCTGAACAGAGATTTCGCAAACAGTGTTAGGGAGCATTAATGGCTCTAAAGGACTGAATGGGTTTTAGCATTTTGTCGCACCAATTTAAGGGAGAATTTATATAATATTAAAAAATTGAAGATATTTCACGGGTAAAGGAATATAATATGCCATTTTATAACGAGGTTTGAGGAACAAGATACGTAAGCTCAAAGAATTGGGAATGAAGAATGCGGGAAAATTTGGAAGGTTTTTAATCGAGAAATTAGAAGAGTCATGGGCTAATACAAGGTCATATAACGGATTTTAAAGCAGAATTAGAGGATTAGTTAACGAAAAGATGTGGTAAGATGCCAATAGAAAATAAAAAGGGGGTCGAGAGGTAACGTTATAACTGCGGCCTCGGCTAAAGCACTGGAGTTTAGTGGATGCCATTAAATGGTTACAGCTGTAATTGAGAGGGAAATAACTATTAAAGAGAGTTTAAAACGATGCTACCTGCAGATTATGGTCAAAGAAAAAGCTGATTAATGTGGTAATAAAATATTTGAAATTTGAAATTTTGGTTTGAAATTTCTCACAAAAAGAGGCAGGTAAAAGTAGATATTAAAAGGAGTGTTTGGTGAAAGGACCTTAAATGATTTCATCTACCTTCGCTGGCATATCATCTACTATTAGATAGATCAGCACATACGGTGATTAGGATCATGTTCTCAGGGGCCCAACGCCTATTTCGATAATGAAAATTTCGATAATAATGTGGCGAATGGCAAAGACCACTTAAGATCTGGACTAATATGGTCAAGAGAGGTCCTGGACGGTGTAGAAAGGGTGAACATTGGGAAACCTGGAAAATAAAAAAGATTCTTCTTTGAAGCTGGCGAAGCCAGTAATAGTTCAAGATATTAAAAGATCTAGCCTTAAAAAAAGAACGCAGTTAGGCAAGGCGTTAGATATGGTTTCGATGTCGCGGGAGGTTGTATAGCAGATTTCGAAAGGTTGCAACGGTGTTTAAGAAGCAGTAAGGAAGAATGTCGCTGAATGGCGAATATAAATAATTTTGAGGCCCACTTCGAGTCTTATTGTGCTTTGACCCTCTGTTTTTTATCTTCGGTTTTTTGGGGTATAAGCGAATATCATCGTGATTTTTTGTACTTAGAGTATATTTAATTGATTTCATATTGGCTTCTTGCTTTCTACTTGTTTTATTGGTTCCTTATTACGGTTAAGCCGTCGACGCATCATACTGGTTAGTTGATATCTTTACTGCTTGATGAAGGATAAATGAGTGGTGATTCGAATCCATTTTTGATTAATGGCGTCATCAGTAGCTTTTGGATTCGCTATTCGGGACATTGCCAGTCATCTCCGAACTGTTGACACATTGTTGGCAACCATATTGCCACTAAGCCACCAATGCACCTTATGAAAATTAATGATAATGCCCCACTGTTGTTTGACCATCGATAACTGAGGTGAAACGCTTTTCACTCATAACTTGAGAGGACAGAAGATGAAATTTTGGAGATGAATGAACTGGATTTGGAAGCTGGATGACTTATAAAGATTGATTTTTTTGAAGACTGAAAGGATTTCGATGAAGTAGACGAATTTTCCCAAGATACACTACTAAATTATTAGCTGTTAAAAGTTGGTAGATCTGACACGTCTAACTAGTCTGTGCACCATGCTAGCACCCTAGGTCGCGTATAATCTTATAAATATTTAGCATATGACCTTTTGTCATTGATTTTATATCAGAACTGTCTTTACGTATAAACCCCGTTATGTATCACATTATTATGTATCACATTATTCTTTATTCTTTTCTATATTATGTTTCATTCAGAGTTTTGATTATATATTTATGTTTGCACTACCTCTTATAGGTGACGGATTCAGTCGAAGTGTCTATGTTTCAGTTTCGGACGTAACAGAGCATCATTCTGTGGATTTCAAAGGATCAAACAGGGACAGAAGCTGGATCTTCATCTACCAAGTTTGTGGCGTTGTTAACTTTTTCGTTGTTATTCGTTATTTTAAAACTGATTGTTTTGAAAGAACCTTGAAATTCAATTTGTTCAGAATAAGCACTACCATATTCGTATATGAGTTCCCGCTGTCGAAGCGCATTTAAATATTCGACAGGATTTGAAAGATGTAGAAAGAATTGTCCAGAGAAATCAAATTCTGTTGTCAATATTCTCAAATGACTTTTTGCCAAAGTTGCCTCATCCCTATTGCTTAGGAAGTAGATCAAATCAGAAATTATGCAATCAGTAGACGAAAACGCTGCTTCATTATCGTGAGAAAACTTTGACAATAAAACAACTTGCTTGAAAAAATTTAAAAAAACCTCCTTACTTATAATTTGTCCGTAAAATATGGTGGAAAATATATAAGATGAATTTCATTCGATATACATCCGGAGAAATCGTTACAACGTCGTTCATGCCACTTGTGGTCTAGTTTGTTGTGCTTCATGGATTTTTTCTGTTCAATATTTGCAATTTTTTGTGGATAATTTTCGGTAGTCGCAGTAAATAGCATAGCTTTATAACTGTTGCACTATGTACTGGAAAGCTACTGTAATTTAAGTAGTGATTATCAAACAGTAACTGCAGCATTTTTCGAATAGAAGGTCAGATTTTAACGAAAATGTATGTTTTTGTCGGCTCTTTGCCTAAATTTTTCTGCTGTCATTTGCAAAAGTCATAGAATTCATTTTTCGAACTATTCATTTTCGTTACGTCTTTCTGGAATTTTACTCTTTTGACATCTTTTGCTTCCTTTTGCTTCCTCAAACTCTATTATATCTTTTCTTATCGTTTGTTTTAATGCTTAAATATTTCCATAAAGTTCTATCAAATTTTATTCAAATAAGACCGAATAACGGTTTCATTAATTGCGAATCCAGTGTTGCTTCTTCTGTGCGTTTTTTCTATCATTTTCCAGATTGCAGGTTCTTGCACCTAGTATTCATTGTATCATTTCTTTGATTTGCCACACAAAACTTTTTCGAAACCATATGATTTTCGACCTGAATTATTATCGTTCATTGCAAAACATATTGGTAACGTAATTTAACGTATTTTGCAAATTTTTTCGCATGTTTATTTTTCTGATCCTTATTTTTTTAGTTCGTTAGTGAATGAACATTCTTCTTCTAACAACTTTCACCATTACTGGTTAGGCTGGCTTCAACGTCTGCAAGGGTAAGACAACGGCGCGGTCTGATGCCATCGTCGACAGTAATAGAGGCCATTCCTTCAACTATATCAATTGAATCAAAGACAGCCGCAAAGTCGATGAAACACATGACAGTGGATTGCAAATATCTGAAGCGATGTTCCAACACCTTTCTTAACGTGAATATCTGGTCAGCACAACAGCGCCCTGGTTTGAATCCAGTTTGATTAGGGCGTATCCTACTTTCTAAGTCTATTGAGTAAAAGAGAAGCAAAAATTTTCGCTAAAACATTTAGTAGGCTGATTCCTCGATGATTGTCGCAGTATGCCCCATCACCTTTTTTGAGAATTGGGAGCAAAACTCCTATCATCTTCAATCCATTTATCTGGTAATACCAGAGAGTACATTTGTTGAAGGTGTCTTATGAAGGACGATGGACAACATTTAAAAAGTTCAGCCTGAAGACCATCTTCTTCCTCAGTCTTATTGGCCTTAAGCTTATGGATAACAGATATTATTTCTTCTTCTGTTCGGGGCTCGCAATTGCAAGCATATGGTTCAGCGAATGTATATATCAGGAGGAACAGATGGCGCTTCATGGTTAAATTTGGCCTTAAAGAATTCTTTCCATCTTATGAGGCGGTCCTTAATACTTTTGACTGGTACGCCATTGCTGTCCCTTACCATTTCACTGATCGTTCCCCGAATTATAGTTGCTTTATGAAGAAGGCGGAATAGTTTCCTATTATCGCTTAATCGAGCCGCCGCCTCCATTCTTGAGGCCATGTCACTCCAGTAGTGATTTTTGTCCCGCTGTGCTTCTGTTACAAATCTTCGAAGCATCCGATAGTCAAGATCACCTGACATTCGTGCTTTAGAAACTGTAGAAAAGATTATCAAAATGCAGGAAACATAGATTATCAGCCAGGAAACGGTGGTTTTTATCGACGGAGTAAACTGTTGGAGGAAAAGGTGAAAGAAAAAATTGCAGAGGAAGAGAATGGCATCAAAAATTCTTTAATCGCCTCTATTGCTTTCAAAATGAATGTCAGGCCGTTTCAAATTTTAGTGTGGAACCGCATGAACGCAGTCCGCATCTGACTTTTAATGCTTTAGCTGATAGGTAGTTGTTTTGTATTGATCTTTTGCGTGCGGGCGGTCTATGTTGTGAAATGTTTCATTTGCAGTAGATGTTTGTTGCTATAATGATTTCACGTTGGTTATAAGCGTGATTTTGGTGAATTTTACAGAAGAATTGCGTTTTTATTATGTCAATTATATCTTGAATTACTTAGAAGTGGAAAGAAGTGAGTTTTTGAAAATGGATATATCACATAGCAATGGCGAGAACAAACCGAAATTAAAGCCCGAGGACTCGATTATTCCAGGTAATTTGCTTTCTTTTATTTTAATTCTCCAAGTTCAGAAGTCTTGGAAAAGGCAATATTTCATGGGATGTTAAACGTGGAGTTGCCCTTAGTTATCTTTACTTTCCCTCCTTGGCAGAATCATTTTAAACTTTCGGCCTGTTTGCGCCGTCTCGTTTCACTTCTAACTCACTGATATTGTGCGCCATGTGCGGCAGTTTTTTTCGATTTATCTCTTTACCATGTCTGTCGGTCCGTCGGTCGGGCATATTTAATGGATTTAAATTTACTTCAATTCTCCATTTAATTTTATTTTTTGTTTTGTTTTTAAATTGATTCATTATATTATAATAGAAATATGTTATAATAGAATTTTTTAGCCAAAGTATCGAGTGGAAAAATTGTTTCTGGTCAAAAAATGAACATATGCGTTAATGGTTATGAATTGGATATAAGTAAGGCTATTGAAATGGTTTACAAGTTTGAACTAAAATTTTATGCAGAGAAAACTAGCACAAAAAGTTCGGGGAAAACGAAAATGAAGGAATTACATCGTGGCCCTAAAAATGAGTCGGTTTTAATTGTGCATTATATTTTTTTTTTTATTTATATTGAAATGATTGCAGAAAGTCTAGGTATACCTCGATTTTTAGGAAAATAAGGATAAAAAGTATTTTAAACCATGAGTATGGCTGCTATTTGCAGTGTGGCGCTCGTGTTAAGACATCATATTTTGTGGAAAATATTTATTGCACTTCTTGAACAGAATGAAACATTTTTCGGTCAGGATAAAAAAAAGTTTTTCTATGATTGCGGGACAACATTTTATTCCATTGAGAAACTTTTCGATAGATACGAAGGTGAACGAGAATTTCAGTTGCAAGTGGTAATTCTTATTTTTGGTACTTCTATATCACATTTTTTAAACTTTTCAATTTTCATTTTCGTTTTTTATCAAAATTTTAATTTTTCATAAAAAATTTTTGTATACTTTATATGTGCAGAATACTTTATCATCTGAAATTCGTGATTTTGTGGGAAGAAATTGTCAAATGATCGTTGCAAAATTGCTGCCATGTGAAGAAATATTTTTATCTGATACGACAGCAGTTGCCGATTGTATCGCAATTCGTGAGCGGTCCTTACAGCAATTTTTGGAAATCGCTACAACTCAAATGATGTATCACAAGTACGTTACAAGTATTATAAATAATTTTGGAATTTTCGTTTAGAATATTTGTTTTGTTGATTTAGCTAATAACATTTTGGAACCAATTTGCTTTTGGTTTGATTTTTGTTTTATAAATTTTTTTTTAGAAAGAATATGCTAATGCATTTCATTTCTGGTTATGACTGCGCAATAGATTTCCGAGGAATTTTTGCTAGAAAATCGCTTAGGGATAACAGTGTAAAAGGTTCCCAGTACCACCTTAATTTTTTAGTGACTGCTCGGAATTTTTAAAAATTTTAATATTCCCGGAAGTAGAAATAGTAGTCCAGTGTCAAAAACAAGAGCAATAACCCATTGAGAAGTCACTCATTCTATTAAGAATTTTTCATTTTTTTTTTAAACTTGTTTAGTTCGAATTCGCTAATTTTTGGCAATAAAACGTACGATTTACCAAGTCGTCATATGCAGCAGTTGACTGGAGGTAAAGTTTTAGCCTCTGGAATGGAAAAAAGCGTCCGGTTTGTTGGTAATGAATGGGAAACAGCAATTGCTATGGTGCAAATTGATTGTGCGTTTTTATTTTATTCGGAATCGTTTAATTGTTTTTAATGTTTTAAATTTATCACAAATACAAATATAGGCCGACACTCTTGGGTTATTAATATATTTTAGCCAAAAAGGGAGCGTTCTTCAAAGAGGGGCCCATGATGGAATTAATAAATGCTTTAATTAATAGAGCACCAATGTCGGCACTCATTAATGATGTACGTTTACGTCAAAAAGTAGCAAAGCAGTTGAAAGGTTTGTCATTTTTCCGCCTTCCTCCTGTTTTTTTTTGCTGTGAGTATATATTCATTAGCAAGGTTTTCTCTGCTCCTAAATATTTATAATTTTGTATGGTATAAATTATAAATTTTGTTGTTGGGGAGACGATTTGCCAAGCGGTTAAAGAGTTTATCATTAAGAGTTTTCCGTCTTTTATCCTGTTTGTTGGTGTGAATGTTTATTAACTTTCATTTTTCTGATATAGCTAACAATTTGGTACAGATCTGGTTGTTCGAACTACCCATTTGCCAAGCGGCCAGAGAACATTTTCAATATTCGGAATCACTGCTGAAAGCGCAGACAAGTTAGATGTTTGGTTCTTTTTAATTCAATAATTCCATAAAATTTTATTGGGAGTAAAAAAAAATTGTTAATGTAAGTGCTAAAATTGGTCTGCTAGTTTGTAAGAATTTTTTCTCCTTCTGCGTTATTTAATTTTATATCTTTTTATATCCTTTTATATCTTTTTAGTGTAAAGATAATTATCGAGAATCAAGAAGTTTCTGTCACTGATTATATTTTGCATAAATATCAGTATCGCTTGAAATTTGGAATATTGCCTTGTGCGATTGAAAGACGTGTGATAGGAAAAGATGGTGGATCTTCAGTCTTTAGTAGCTTTCATCCTCTCGAATTACTACACGTTATCGGTGGTCAGCGAGTGTCTATTAAGAAACAGAACCCTGAATTGGTAAACATTACAGTATTTTTTAATTCTTAAACTGTTAAAACTGATTTGGTTGAACATTATTAAATATTAATTGCTTGCCCATTTTTTTTTTCTTGGTCGAATAATCTGAAAAAATTGCACATTTTTTATGGCTCGGTAGTTTAAGCTCATTAAACGTGGAAATGTGGGGATAACGACTATAAGAGTTTTATTCATTTTCGTTTTTACATATTTCAAAAAAGTGGACTGCAGGTAGACGATCTCATAAAAAGTTGTCGTGTGCTTCCATCTAAGCTGAAGGCAGCTAATGAAGAACAGCGATTGCGAGCATTTATTGATGATAGAAATGAATATCTAGCACATCTTGGCGTAAGTTCATTTTTCGGAGAAAACCAGTGAATCGTCCATTTAAAAATCAGTGAAGAAAGTTGTTGTAGATTAAAGTTATCAGTACGCCAAAGGCAGCATCAGCTACCGTAGTATATCCTCCTGCAATTCTTTATAACAATGGAAAAATTGAACCGGATGGAAGTGGAAACATGGATTGGCGTTTATCAGTACCGCGATTCTCTCCAAATCGCTTGTTCCTTCGACCAGCTAATCCTCCCCGTCGTTGGGTCGTTTTTACCTTCAACAATGCTACAGATAAGAACTCAGTAGATAGTTTCATCCAGGCATTCATCAAACGATCAAATGATCATGGTATTAAACTGACCAATCCTTCTCGGTCGGAGCGCTACGATAATACGGATATATCTTTTTTGATCGAAAAAATGAAATTCATGCAACAGAATCATGTTGAATATGTTCTTTTCGTAACAGGAGAAAGGCGCGATCCAGTTCATGGTTTTCTTTTATATATATATTTTTACCATTTATATATTTTTATTAAATGAGATAGGAGCTCTCTTTTGAAGAGAAAAAATCATAAAATAAAGGGTTATATACTCATGTTAGGAATATTTTGCATTGGATGTTAATATTTTTTTGTGGATTTTGATATTCAGATGTGATGAAATTTATCGAGCTTAGTTGCAAAATTGTGACCCAGCATATTCAAAGTAAAACGCTGACGAAAGCCATAAGTAATCGAGGAGCTGAAATGACACTTGATAATCTAATCATGAAAATGAATTTGAAACTTGGTGGACTGAATCATGGATTAGTTGGATCTCAAGTGCTTTTAAAGCAGAATCGCCTGTCAACCGATCCTATGTTAGCTTATGTTGACATAATATTTTTCAGTAGTGGATTTGTCACTGAGTTTATTTTCAGGACAAATATATGGTTGCGTCATTCAAGAATGATCATCGGTTTAGATGTGTCTCATTCAGCTCCCCAGTCGCTTTATGAAAGGCAAGCCAAAATTGCTCCATCTGAACCTACCGTTGTTGGAGTAAGAATCTTTTTCCTTTCATTTTTCTTTTTTTAATTTCCTTCATTTTTGCTCCTTTTAATCAATTACATTTTAGATGGCCTACTCTTGTGGAAGTCCTTTGCATTTAGCCGGTGAGTATTGGATGCAGCAGCCGCGACTAGCGGTATTGCAAAATTTAAAGGATCATATAGCAAAAGCAATTAAACATTTTAGAAACTGTAACAGCTGTTTCCCGGAGCATGTGCTTATTTATCGTGGTGGTGTTTCTGAAGGGCAATATTTAAAGGTTTCGGTTTTTTTGGGAATTTTTTCTTTATCATAAAATAATGATTTTTTTACACATCTTTGGGCTCTCAATCTTAAATCGGAGCGAAAATTTTAGGTTATGATTGAAGAAGCAGCATCCATTCGCGCTGGTTTCGTTGAAGCAATTGCTGGTGGACCGGAACATATACGGTTGACGATAATTACTGTTCAGACCAATTCTAATTATCGTATTGTACCATTAAACATACGAGGTGAAACTGCAAGTGAGCAGAATGTACCAGCTGGTACTTTCGTTGATGCGGATGTTGTTCATCCTACGCAAACTGAGTTTGTCATGGTCGCTCATAAATCCATAATGGTGCACTTTTAGTAAAGTGGAAAATATTTTATTATTTTGTCTTAATAGCTTTTTTTACGTTATATGCCTTAGGGAACAGCAAGACCAGTGCGATGTACTGTATTGGTTGATGATCCACCGCGAATGTTGATGGATGAATTAAAAGGTGTAACCAATGCTCTTTGTTATGGCCACGAAATAGTTACTTCTCCTGTGTCTATACCAGCTCATCTTTATGCTGCTAGTGATTTGGCAAAGAGGGGACGTAATAATTGGAAAGTGGCCAAGTAAAGTTTCCAATTGAAATTCTCAATTTTTCGTTTTATTTATTCATTTGATGGATTTTATGTTATTATAAAAAAAGAAGTAGAAGTGAGATATATTTATATGAAATTTATGGTTTTTTATAGTTTGGAATTTGTGCCTATTGTGGAAAAAAAATGGATAAGATAGTTATTTTACAGTGACGGAGATTCTCAGTCAGGTGACGGTGAAGGTGGACGTTATCGCAATAATGGTCACGAAAATTTTTTCGAAGAAATGAGCACTGATCTCAAGCCGAGCCTTGCTTACAAATTTTGGGCATAGGATCTTTCGTCCTATTGTTACTAAAATTAATCGCGCTCGGCTATTACTCATTTTCATTTTTTCCATGGTTTATTGTTACTGAATTTATTAAATTAGTATTAATCGACTTTTCGTTTTTTTTTTCTTTTCAAACAACATATAATACTGATCATTTGTTTTTTTATATCTTTCTAATAAGCTTAATGATCAATCATATTACAGAAATTGATTGCTGTGGTGCAATTAACGATTTAAAAATTTTTGAATGCCTTTGAAGAGATAAAATGTTTTTCACTCGAGATGTGAATTTAAAGACAAGTATTATTAACAAGAATGCAGTTTGAAACGTAAATTATTGTATTTGGTTTGGTAATTTCTTCAAATTCGTTGGGACTTCTGGAATCTGAAATTGTGATGTTCCTGTAGTAGTAATTTATTTCCTTTTGAAGAAGTTTTTAGAAGAAAAACGGAAGAAAATAATTTAGAAAAGGTTTACCGCGAATTGAAGAGCTCGTTCGAGGTCTTCAATTAAATCGTCGACATGTTCAATTCCAACAGATATTCTTATTAAATTATCGCTGATGCCTAATTTCGCGCGGTCTTCCGGTGGCACTGATATATGTGTCATAACCGCAGGGAGTTCTGCTAAGCTTTCGTAACCCCCTAGCGATTCAGCTAATATAAAGATCTGCAATAATGGTGATTAGTCGTGGTAAATTAGAAATCAAATATTGCCTTTAAGTATGAAAGGAGTACCTGAAGTTTAGATAGAAACGCTGTCGATTGGTTAAGTCCTCCTCTCAGATAGAATGAAATCATCCCACTCATGCCTGTGGTTTGTTTTTTGTGAATTTTATGTTGGGGATGTGATGCCAGTTCTGGATACAATACCTGGAATAAAATCCCACTAAAGTCGCTGTGGTGATGTGATGATGGTTGTGGTTCTGCGGTGAATTTTGAGCTAAGAGGAGTCGGGGTGAGGGTTGTGGACCCACATGGTGGTTGATTTTATAGCAGGTTTGAGTGCTTCACTCTTGTTGATGGAAGTAACCAATGTGGATTAGAATTTCCAACAAAATAGCAGTGAACGAATTACCTTTTCTATGCGAGGGTTTGTTTCTAGATATTCAGCTATTCTTAGTGCATTCGCCATGTGTCGTTCCATTCTCAGGTGGAGCGTTTTAATTCCACGATTAACGAGAAAACAATCGAAAGCAGATGGTACGGCCCCAACTGCTGCAATGATAAGGAATTTTTTGCAAAGGTATGAAAACGAAGTTAATTATTATTGTCTAACTATGACATAAAATATTAATAGCCGGTTTTCCGCGCGGTAGGCGTGAGACCAGCAGTTTTCGTCTAATCTTTTCGTCCATGAACCTGAAGTAAGTGGAAGTACAGCCTGTTTTCGTACGATATAGATTTTTTTTGGACTTCGTAAATTTACCGATTTGTTGGAAGAGAAGGTGCTCATCTATATCTTTTCTATTTGTAATCGCGGCACCCATAATCACATCTGTATGCCCGTTGATATATTTTGTGACTGAATGAAGTGAAATATCCGCTCCTAAAGAAAGTGGTCTCTGAAAAAGCTGATTATATGAAATTTGCATTCAGATAAGGGAATAGAATTTAGTTGTCTGTCAGGTAATATTAATAGTGGTTTAGATTATAGGTTTTGATTATCGTGCTAAGAATCAGAAGTCCCCGGCAGGAGTAAATACGGGTGCTAGAGCTAGAGAGTTTTATGCTTTTTTATCAGCATGTGAGTCCTGGTGATATGATATTTTCTGGCCGTATTAGTGCCCTGTGGAACTAAATTGACCAGGGGTCATGAATATTCACCTTATATACGGGTGTCGAAGTCTAAAAATTTTCAAATAAAGCGATGATTAATTAACCTGGAAATATGGTGACATGAAGGTGTTATCAACGATAATTATGGCGTCATTGCATTTTTTTTTTGTCATTTCTGCGATTTTTCCGATATCAACAACTTTAAGTAGAGGATTTGTGGGAGACTCTATCCAGACCATCTACAATTCCAGCATGGATTTTTATTTTTCTGCATTAATAAAAGTTAACATAGTGAATATAGTTGATAAGTGAAAATGAAATTACCATACCATAAGTTCATAAATTCACATTATTTGCGAAATCAGAAATTGATCTGCATAATTGGAACTTTTCTACTAAATTAATCCACATATGGCAAAAATGACTGTTATGACTGCTTTTACTTTTATATTATTTATTAAACCTCAAATTCCGCTTATTTTGCGCAAGTTTCTCATAAAATTTTGGATCACCTTTGTGTTCTCTTTTAGTTTTAATTCAAATTCATCATAATTGGTCAAATCTACAAGTTCGACTTGAATGCCGTGTTGAGCAACTGATATTTTTCTAAAGAATCTTTGTGTACCTGAAAAAAAATATACTTAAATGTACAGATTTTTAAATGAACTTAAAATTGATTTTGAGAAGAATTTTGCAGGATTTTGCAACTACTTTCTTCTAGAATTGCTTTTTTTATACAACACAGTATTATCCAGATCATTTAAAAATCTGTATACTCTGTATACGAGGCTCGTCCTACTCTTCACAGCAATGAATCTATCATTAAAAAATCCGGATGCTGAGAATATTTATATTCTTAGCGTTCTTTCAAATGTCTCAATCTACTAAATGACAAAAGAGAGAGCCTCACGGTGGAATCTAATCATTTACTTACAAATGTTCAAATTTTTAGTCGTATTCCATACTGAAAAAAGTGGGAGGGAAATGTTTGCTTGACTTTTTTATGAGCATTTGAAGAGGAATGAATAAAAAAATGCAAGCTGTAATAAAAATATATAAAAATATGTAAGCAACCTCCATAAACATCGTCGGTACAAATGATATGATCACCTGTACATAGATAATTTGCTAGCGCCATAGATGCAGCAAGACCGGATGCAAAAACTCGACCTAAAATCTTATTTAATTGCGAGCAATTTCACATGAGCTAAAAATTTCTTCTAAGCAATAAGAATGTCTTTTCGTTTCTATCTATTTCATTATAGATAAAAAACTTACAGTATTCTGCTTCTTCTAAAGCTGCGATGCATTTTTGTAGAACATCGCGAGTAGGATTGCCAGCACGCGAATAATCATGTACTTTAGGTTCACCAGGTTGATGTTGTTTGTAAGTAGTTGATAATGATATGGGCGGTATTACCTAAAATTGCTGTAGATATTGGGATAAATAATACTGTGGGATTTTTATGGAAAAATACAAGAATCTATGGAAAAGTATGAAAAACCATAGATTTGGAAATACCATCTTCGTTTTCTTCTAACAGCTCACCATTATTGGTTGCTAACTCCGTTAAGTTGGTTACTAGGCTAGGTGTTTGATTCGATACCATTGCTGAGAGTAACAAAAGCCATTCCTTGTCCCTCGTCTAAGCCCATGTATAGTTCGTCCAACTACACTTCCAAAATCTATCCTGACTTTATCAGTCATGATTGATCCACTTCGCTTTTGACGCCACCCATCACATGATTTCGCAAGTAACGAAATATGCGTCAATTCTTGTGGTGGGCGACGAAGAATCTAATCAGCGAATGCGACGCTCTATGGTGCCCTGTGAGAGTTTTTCCACTCGGACCCGTGAAATGTATCTTAAACGTGAATAGACAAAAGCAAATATATTCTTATTATCTTTCATCGGACATGTCTCGTTGGTAAATTCAAGTAACAAATTTATTTAAAATTCATTCTGAAAAAAATGAAGAAATCGCCTGATGCATTTCCCACTGCTCAGGTTCTTGACCGGTATGAATGGCTGCGGTATCGAAATGGCGAAATGAATGATTTGGAGACATCGACTGTGCCGGGCTAGCTCAACGATCTACGAACAGCGAGCAAAAATACCTTTAAAATTTATAATACAGCTTACTCAATCCCACCGAATCATATAACAAACAGTTAAAAAAAGGAAGAAAATTTAGGAAATTTAATTTATCAATTTATGATCAATGAACTTTGATATTCGATCTTAAATTTTTGATAAAAATGAAAATATTTATTGTAAATTTTTAGAACAACAGAAAGAAATTAATTGTTATTATTGTACGCTACCCGCTCAAATATATGAAATTATACTGCAACAGAATTTGTTAGCGACAAATGAGTAGTTTTCCTAAGACTGAAGTTATTAATCTATTATTATTCATTAAAATTAACAAATATTTTAATATAAATGAATGGAGTAGTCATTGCATATACATATGTTGTTCGTCTCCTGCATAGTGTTCAGACTTTGCTACCGAAAAGACCTGTCGATAAAAAACCCTGGGTGCCACTTGTACTTTCGGTGATTCCCTGGTAAAAACTTCTCATCGCCCTAATAGCTAGTCGAATGAGTCTTATCAAACATGATGAACGTTATACATTAGACATTAATCGAATTTCATACTTGTTTCTTCGAAAGAAACTAAAAAAAAAAGAAATCGAATTCAAATTAAACCTAAAGCTAAGAAAGAAAAAATAGCATTTCGATCAGCCAAGATTATTAAAAATCCAGTTTACTTTTTATTCAAGGCTTCGTCTCACCATTTTGACAAGTTTGTCAAAGAAAAATGACCAACATTACTAACAAAAATAAAGTGAAATATCAATATCATAGCGCTCATCATTTTTGCTAAGACTAATTCGACTTGATGTTATAAAACTGGTCGTATTACCAATTGTTCAGTTTTCAAGGCATTCAATTTCAATTCATTTAGAAATTAATTTCATTCAATAAAGATGATTAAAATTAAGAAAAATTACATAGTATATCACATCACATAACTACTTACATTAAACAAACTCCCGATTCTGATTAAATGCATCTTACGTAAAAAAAACCACGATAAAAATATAAAAATTCAATATATTTTACATTGTTCATACATTTTTGTCCAGGAGATGCAAGGAAAAATTATAAATCGAAAATTCCAGAAAAAGGCTTGTATAAGATAATGGAAGTAGCTGAAATTCCTGTGGAATTCTCGATTTTCCGACTTGAAAAATAGGATTTGGAAAAATAGGATTTTATATAATTTCGCAACATTTGCAATTGCCAGTAATATGTGCAACTCACTTCAATCAGTAATTTGCAGGTAATTTCGTAATGTACAAAAGCAGAACTGAGCTATTTGCTGACATTACGGAATTATATGTAAAAGTTATGAAATTATATATAAACATTACGAATGAAATAAAATAAATATAATTTTAATAGATAATGAAGATATCTAATCATAGTAATTATCAATTACAATAGATTTACAAATGAACAAAAAGGAAGTAGAAAAAAAGTTGAATAGATTGAACAGATGAATAGGAATAAAAATAAAATATATTATCCTTAACATTTCAGATCAGTTACGATTACTTTCAGAATAATCGAGACTAATGTTAAAAGAATATTTTGGGTGAAGAATGATGACACAATCAACGAAAGAAAACTGGTTAATTAATTAGTTAATTTTAATGGCGACAATAAAATAACATAAAAGTATGAAAGATAAATTTTCGTCATTAAAATTGCATTTCCGACTGATAAAACCAGGCAACTCTAATTAACTAATTTATTTTTAAAATATTAATTTTAGCTTAAAATGGTAAGAAAATCATGTAAAGATCACTTATGAATTGTTGTTATTAGTTATTTATTTGCAGTTTGCAATTTTTTGTTCATTTTGGGAGATTTGGCAGTTGATAACTGAAAAAGGATTATTATCCAACAATAAGCATACATTGCAATAAATATTTGTGTTATTCAGTACGACTAATCATTTCGACAGCATTCATCATTTCTGATTGATTTATTTGTTTTCGCGAGAATCATTTGGTGACTAAAAATGGAGGCTGGGTTTTTAGCACAACTAGATTCCACTTTTAATAATATATTTACCCTGTCAAGCGACAGGAATTTAACTCCAAGGAAGTAACATATCAATCGACCATTCGACTACTGGAAATGAATTCCGGGATGTCGAAAACGAAAAAAATTTGTTACAAATTTTTATTATAATTTTTTATTATAAGTAATAAATTAATTAGCAGTGTACTAAAGTTAATTTTACAAAAATTTATTTGATATATCAGGATTAACGTTAAAAATAATTTTAAAAATTCATAGGTAAGACAACTGTTATGCTAAAATTCCAAATTTTTGGCTCTTTGATCTCTTCACTTAGATCTCCACAAAATAATATAAATAGCCAGTTTCGCCTTTCACCAGTTTCTCTTGTTTTTATTTATTTCACTTATTACGACTTTACTCGTAATTCTGTTTTATACATTTTACATATTAATCTTCCGGGATGTTAAAAGCATTTGTTATTTGATTAAAGATATAATAAAATTGTACAATATATAATACAATATAAATGATTTAAAAAAAAACTTAAAATGTAGAACTCAAACCCATGTAAAACTATTTCATCTTACTAATAATGTGTAGCGAACTTCGAGTAGAAATAATGAATGATCAATCATGGAGAAAAAAAAACAAATTTTATGGGAAATAATCTAAAAAAAATAGCAAATTATAAAATTCACGATAAGTAAAATAAAAAAACTAAATAAGTTTTCCTCAAAACGGAAGAGAAATTTCGAAGCAATTTTGAGCGCATTTTGAATGCAATATATTTATATATATATATATATATATATATGCAGCAAAAATTTTCGTAATTAAAATTTGTCACTTCAAAACTGCAATTAAGAGTTTTTTCGACTTAGCCACCCAAATTTGAAATGGAATTTAACGGCTATCCAGAATACTTCTACATTAGAAAAATTAAAAAAAAAAAGAAGAAAGAATACGTAAAATTTGAAATATTAATTGAGATGATCGTACTCATTTTATTTTAATTTTATTTTTTCAATCTAAAAAATTATTTCTAAATCATAGCCAAGAATCTGGAAAACAAGTACCATATGACATATTTAACACTTGGCAATTACAGGGAAAATTTTTTAAATAAAGTATCCAAAAATAAAAGAATAATCTGCTTTGCGGAAGTAAAGTTTCAAAAAATTAAATTATTCTTATGTAAAATGTAAAATGATTGATTAACTGAATCAAAATTAATTAATATTTAATTCAAAGTAAAAAAAGTAACGAAGCAACGAAGAATAAATGTAAATTTTGTGCAAAGGGAACGTTTATAATAATACAATAAACGTTTATATACGCTTATTTGTGCACCTGCACGACTGATTTTCGCTGAAACTTCCATGAAATTTCTTTTGCACCCAGCCAGTTTCCTCGAATTTCTCGTTATTACATGGTGGTGGAAAAGAGTGCAGAAACTAAGGCGAAATGACGTTAAAAATATATTTAAAAATATACAATGAAAAATTCAATATATATGTATATATATAATTACTATGCAATTTTCATCTAATTAAGATGATTTTTTGAATTTAGTCGGTATGAATTGGATTGCACCACAGACTGACGCAAATAGATGTTAGTAAAATGCTAAACTTCAAGATCTAAAATTTCCGTCAGAAAATCTTGACTGGTTAATGCTAAGGCTAAAAATTTGATGCAATACAAAGCCAAACTTGTAGAAAGGTATAGAGAAAAATATCGCCAAAAAAATGAAAAAATGGGTGCAAGCCAAAAGTGAAATCATATAAGAATTTACGAAACGGCATGAATAAAAGTACTTCAAATAGACCAATTTCCCGCAAAGATTTAATGAAATGGATTTATGGACATGTAAAATATGTTGGATGCGCCTAATGACGCATAAATTTTTCTTGACTGGAAAATCATCGCGCCGTCATTATGGCATTCCCTATAATGCATTCTATCTCTTGCAGGCAGATAAATTGTAAGAGTTAAAAAAAATGCCTGAAATAAGAAGATCTAATCGAGTGGATCCATATATAAAAAAATAGAGCTGATCGCGAATACGCATTCTTTCTTTAAAATAGGACTTTTTTTAATCGAATTCCATTCAATTCGACATTCCCTTTTTTCGAAAGTTCGTTCAAATTTTTTTCTCCGAATTAAAATTAGAATTACTTTTTTTTCAAATTTTATCCAAATTTTGAAAAGAAGTTTTTCTTCCTTTTATTTGGTATTATTAAGATTAATTTTTGCTATTATTAAATCTCTTCATCATTGTTTATTTCGCCTTTTTTAAGGACCAAAAAAGCACAAGTATCCAGGATACCAGGGTAGAAATATCGAGGATGAGGTTTTCTTGGATTGTTTTCATTAGCAGTGATCCACAAATATTCATATGCCGAAACCTTTGTCTCTGATTTATTTTTCTTATTAACCTGTAAAGTTCGACACATGATTATTATAGCTGATGGACTAGTTCATGGCAAGAAATTCTCAATCTATGAAGAATCTAGGACAGTCATATATTTTCATTTCAATCATTTTTCGTAATAATTTTTGCGACATTATTACTCTTGCATTGGATCTTACTAATTGTCAATTGTCAGTCGTTTTTTATTTTTTGCTATTTAAATATCTTTTTCTCCAAATTGTGTTATATAAATTCTTCGGCATAAAGAATCCATCAATACATTAAAGTCTCCGATGCACCACTATCACATATATCATAGTACTCGACGCCAATGCATTTTTGTGCATTCCATGACTGACAAATTAATTCACTATCAAGCAAATATAATTAATCCTTAATTCACATAATCAATATAATTAATTCTTTTATTGATAATTTTATATTTCCATATTTTTGATCACTTATCATTTTTTATTAATTGGCTTATAATTTCTTTAAATGATGAACCATAAAATAATCATAAAATTGTTTGCTTATTGTGAATTAGTTTAAATTATTGCTTCGATTTTTTTTCACTTTGGCTTGATCATTTTTTCATTTTGGTTATAAATTTCGAAATTCATCCACAATGGGGAAAAAATTCCTTATAAATTAACAAAAATCATAAAAATAAATAAATAAAATATAAATATATAGAATGAAATAAATAATATAAATGAAAAATAAGCTCAAAAAAAGGCAAACAACTAATTTTCTTTCCTTTTGTCTTTTGACGATTTTAAAAAAATTTCTGGTTTAAAAAAAGTTAAAAATTCTTATTTCATGTGGTTAAAAAAGCTAATTTACTAAGTTACTGCTATGTCAATGCTATGAAGCTTGAATAATTTTTTTAAAACTAATCGAGCTCCCTTCTATTCAACCATCCTATTGATCTGATAACAAATTTCTCATAATGTGATAAAAGTTAAATATCAAAGAACTAGTATATACTTATATATTTGTCCTCACTTTTTAACAGCTTGCACTATGCTAGTTTGGCTTGCTTCACTGGAAACTAGGATATGGCGCTTTCAAGCTTCCCTATCCAATATTCCTGAAGCCACTTTTTTCCATAATTCCATATATTGTCATCTACATATTAAAAATCTCCTCTGATAATATTAAATCTTTTTCACTTTTGAAACCATCGATCACAGGATTCATTCAATAAGTAACAAGATACGAGCCAATTTCGATGATGGACAACGAAAAAACATGGCTTAACCAGAGCAAATGTTTGTGTCTTAGATGGTATTCGAGTGAAAGTGGATGCAATCATGTGAGACTCTATCTGAATATCTTAAAAAGGATAATCAAAGGGATAGCTTCTTGATATCTTCTACTCTTATTGGTCATTATCTGATTGATGAAATGTTTCGAGGCCATATAGTAGGACTACACACTACTAGCACACTACAAGTAAATAGACTTTTGTTTTTTTACTATGATTCCAAAGCCAGACGAAGAGAGGAGCCTTATTACCTGAGCTGTTTCATCTTTTCATTTCATCTGCCATTAGATATGTGAATGGATTCGCGATATTTAAAGGCTTTTTGACGGCTGATGGATTTATAAATTGAGATCTCAGCGCCAGGTTTATAAGACGAAAAGACATGTACATTTACATTGTTTATGTTACTGCTGCTAACATATGGTATTGTACCTGTTGTAGTTCCTCGCATTCAAGGCTCCTGATACTATGCTCAATTGTAAATCTCTTGCCGGTAAGCGATGTCCATAACACGATCCATTTATACAGCAGAAAATTGAGGAAAGAACGCAGTTTTGACGAATACGAATTCGCACTGTCGGTTCTCCACACAAACATATGCAGTCATGCATATCGATAAGTTATTCGCAACTTAGTGCATATTTTCCGTGAAGGCTGTATCTTTTCTCCTACAAGCAATATGCAGTAGATTGGATAATGGATATCGCTTTTTGGCATTCAAGATGTGCACAAATCGGTCCAGAGGATTGTACTGCAGACCTTGAATACGCTATAATATAGTCCTTTTTATCGTTATGATGAAAGGCAAATAATGTTAAACACACTGACAACTGCAGCGAGCATTGGTCTTAAAATCAATGAAACGAAAGTCTTTTCGTCTTGTATGCAAGAAGCTAATAAAACACCTATTTTTATCAATTCATTGCCGGTTGAGGAAGTACCGGGCTTTACATATCCATTCTAATTCCAATTAGCCAAACGAAAAAGAAATTATAACCCAGATAACTAGAAACACATCCCGTTAGCTTTATGGAATCGTCGCAAAATTATCACAAATACGAAAATCCGCGTTTTAATAAAGAGGTACGTTCTTCGTCGCCCACCACAGGAGTTAATATAAATTTCGTTTCGTTACTTGCTAAACCCAGTGATGAGAACATGGAGAACATGACGTTTTCACCATGGAGTAACTTGGGGATAGAGTTACAGGCAGGTCCCTAGCAACCAACCGGACTTTTGGCATTACAGGTTTATTCCTGTCGAAGACAAGCATAGTACTAGATTATTTTATAATATCATTTATTTTACATTATTTATAACGATATTTCACTGTAATACTGTAATACTGTAATTCAAATAATAGGAACATAAAAAAAAGGTATATTTATAATTTATAGTAAATGAATATAAATGGTAAAGAAGAAATTGCATTACATCCAACTTTCTGATAGTTACTTAACTTTAAAAAAATTATTAAAATAAAATATAGAATAAATAATTCAAGATGATTAAGAAATATAAAAATAAGCAACAATCTATTCTCGAATATCTATAATTTTCTTAACAGCTAAAAACTATAAACTTTTACTACTATTACATAACCGTTAAGGAAATAAGATAGCTCAGTGATGATCGTGTTGGATTTTCCGCCTTCGATTGGAACAAACTTGTCATTCAAAAATTCAGGATGGTGTTGGCAAGCTACTGATATTTTTAGCCAAATGACCTGTTAAAAACGTATGGTAGAGAAATAATGAGTACCATTAACCATTAAATTCCTAACGATTCACTGAAATTCGAGAAAATAAAAAATAATCAGATATTCAATTTCAAATATCATCCAATGTGAAAATCGAATGAATACGACCACATTCATAATTAACTTACCAACAAATTTTTCACGATAAAACTCAAAAAATTTTTACGATACAATAAGAATAGTAATTTATACAATCCAATATTGAATGGTTTACATAAATTAATCCTAAACAAAAAAGGCTATCCTTTCGGTAGGAATTCATTCAGCTAGATTATTCCTAAATTCTCACAGGTAATGATTATTTTAAATTATAAAAAGTAAAAAAAGTACTAATATTACCACGAAATAAAATGAGTAATTTAAAAGTGATATGAAATATTCATAAAGCTGTGTATAAAACAAATGAAGGATGAACAGATGAATAATATTACGGATCATATATAGCTAACATCGCTTCCTGACGAGAATATCACACCAACTGAGTGTATATCATCAGTATCAATTTTTTGCCCAGACATTGGTCGATCACAACTTTGCATATCATAAGCTCCTTGACTAAGTCGTCGAAAAATACCCGCAACACGATTTGATGAATTTGATGATTTTTTATCATTTTGTACAAAGAACTGCGCCTAGAACTGAATCTAATTCAATTTCATAGATTTAAAATTAGATGAATAAGAAAACAAAAATTAAAAATTAATAAAGAAAGAACGGCTGATTTTTGATTTCTTTCGTTCGAAAATATCCTGTGGTTAAGTTAAAAAAATAATACCAATATCTTTTGACAGTACGCACCATTTCTATTTTAGCCAGTCTTATTATTGATTTACAAAAGACTCATTCGGGAATGGATCCCAAATACTTGCAGATTTTATTTTTAATGGCATATTCATTCTCGTAAGAATTTAGAGAATCTAGTTCATTTTATTTGCAGCAAAATATCGGGTTAGAACCAATAAAAGATTAAATGAAATGCAGGAAGCATTCTAACGAGTGAAATTGAAATACCTTTCCAACGTTAACAGTAACGTCGCCAGAGCATAAGTGGTAAAATTTCTTTTCATCCATGGAACGCTGCCTCTGAGGAATTTCGCACTTACGACTAGGACTTGGTGAAACTAATATCGATGTAGTGTAGCTCCGTTTTTTTTCCACCAATTCGAGACTACTTTGTTTTATAAAAGAAGATGAAGGTGCATCTAATAAAATGCCATTATCAACCTTATTACTGCAATTAACTGATTCGAGAAAATTATCAATGTCGGCATCATCGCTTGCCGTGCCTGAAACAAAAATTCCTAAGCATAAATGGATTGAAGACAATTTCGATGCAGAGTAAAGTAAATACTTGTCTTCGATAGATATAATAACATACAAGAACTAAATTTGTTTCGAGAAGTATTTTTGAGTAGATCTGGAGTTGGTGGTTGTGGCGAAAATGATGAGCAAAGAGTATCATTATCATCCTCCAATAAATCTTCAACATCCAGCACTGAAAAGTATAAATTTCATTCATTAATATTTAAATATATCACACTAGATTTTTTTCATTTGCAGAAACTGACATCGATTTGATTTGATTTACATTCGAGAATGAAATGTGCCAAAAAATAAAACAAGGAACCATCGCTTTGCTCCAATCTTGCTTCCATTTCTGCATCGGCAAGAAGTGGTTCTTCAATTTCAACATGCTTTTGAAAGAAACGCTGCCAATCATCTGCGCGATCCACACCGAATATTTCCTTCAACATTTTGATTTTGAAATGTGAAAATTAGTTTAAATTAATTTCATATTTAATTTCAAATAATATTATTTAAATTAATTTCAAATAATATTATTTAAATAAAAGAAAACATTCATTTTTCAATTTTTTTAGCAATTAGATTATAAATCTAACATTTTATCGCAAAAATAAAATAAAAATCTGGAAAATTTATTTTCGATCAAATACAATGTTTTTCCTTCCTTTCCATACAATAGATTTTTGGCATACTTTTTTCGATTTTCCATTAAAAAATATTTAAATCATGGAAATTATAATCAAATGAATAAATATTAACAAATGCATGTTTAATGAGCATTTCAACGACTTTGCTCATCAAATGTGCTTCGTTGAGTAACGATGCATCGCTGTTAAAAGATGGCATCCATATTAATGATGGTGAAATAACTGCACCCAAATTTGATGCTGTCATTAAATTTTCCAATTCAAACCTTAATAATAAAATTAATAATAAAATAAAAAAGTGCAAGACACTTTTTTAAGGAAGCATTTACATTATTACTTGCAACGAATTATTGCATAACAAAAAAATTATATTGATCCAATAAACAAACAGAAAAAAAAATGATATGCTATCAATATTTACTGGCATATTTATAGATATTTATTTATTTAAGCCGACATTTATGCAACGTCCCCATATTATTTAATTTATACAGGAAATTTGCTAAGAAAAACATTCATTCACTATTACATTCCATAAACCTTCTTCCCAAAATTTCTCATTTGTTTGGTTCGAAATTTTCGAAAAGAATTATTCTCTGAATTTCTTGAATTTTTAATTTTTTAAACAATTTGAAATGATACAATTAAGTTTTAGATTTTTCCGATTTTTTTCCATTTGCTGAAGAATTCGTGAATCAAAAGTCTTTTTTTCGACTTTTTGAGGTTTAATCATATAAATGAATTTAAGGTAAACGTTTCAAATCATTTCATTAAAATAGTGGGAATATATAATCAAGGAATTCTAACCAAGTAACCCTATTTAGATGAAGCAAAAGAAATTCCAGTGTGTCCAAATTCTTTTCGGGTAATTTCTCTAATAAATATTTTAGTTCATTTATGAAACACAATGTCTCTTCGTTTGAACATCGCTGAAAAGATAATGTGATAATTTGAATAAATTTAATTAATTACTTAGCAATTTCAAAACTTTAAGCTAATTAAGCGCGCTGAACTTCTCAATTTCCTTTTTAAAAATCAAAAATTTCATTAAAAAAGCGAGAAAGAAATCAAGAAAATTTTTTACAGCCAATCATTTATTTTTTCTGAAAGCTATGTAATTTCTGGTCTGACTAGATCTGCCGATTATCACCATTTATGAGAAATTACTAAAATTTCATTGATTCATCTGCTAAATTACAAAAATATTTTCTGAATTAAGCAGGTTAAAACATAAATAAATCTAACATTCGCAAGCGTAATCCATTCTCCATAAAGTTCATAAGTGAATAAAGGTTCGGGCAGCTTCCTCAGATATAATTTCACAACAGATGCTATATTCATTGGATGATAACTATCCAAGTCCACGTCATAACTTTCCGCTGACCTTTCGAATTCCTCGCAGATTTGCTCAATTTTACTTTTAACGCCACATGTCCTGTATATTCCCTGGAAAAATGAATGATTAAAAATAATAATTAAAAATAAATAATTTTATAATTATAAAATTTATATAAATTATATTTTTATTTATTTATTTATTTATAAATTTATAATTTTATAATTATAATTGAAATAATTATATTTCAATTAACAAATAATCAAAAGAATAAGAATTAACAAATAAGAATTTTATCAAAAGAATGAGCGTGTTAGGAATGTTTACAGTAATTTTTTAGGCTATGTGAACACATAGACAACTTTCAAATTTGTTCAGTCTCTTAAATTTAACTGAATTCCTAATTCACCTTAACTTTTAATCCACGTTTTTCGAGTTCTTCAACGCAACGAACCAAAATTTGTGGAATGCGTTTGCTTTGACTGTTTAGATGCATCGAAAGAGCAATTCCAAATATGCTTATACGTCTTGGTGACGAATCGACAGATTCTTTCGATTTTTGACCACAGAATACAGTTATTCGTGTTATACAGGACTTATGCCAAATTAAACCACATTCAGAACATTGTACAGTGGAAAGTATTGAAAGGGTTTCACACTGAGAACATTTTGTTGGCTGCCGTATTTTTTGAAGTCGATGAGATCTAAAAATTTCATAGTTTAATTCCAGTGAAAAAAATGACTACCAATATTTGATAATTATTTAAAATTCGAAAATGACATTCGAAAAAAAATTGAAATTCGAAGGAGAAGAGAATAAAAAATAAAGAAATAAAAATAAAGAGAGAAGAATAAAAATTCGCAAAAATAGAAAAAACGATTAAAAGGAAACCATTGAAGCCTATCTTAATATCCATATAATCTTTAGATTCTTGAATATAGGCATGGTAGATTATCATTTCACGATTCGAAGTTTGTCCTGGTAGAAGCAAATGTGACTTGAGCGATCTGGGTTGTGCTGGGGCCTAACTATATTTTTATGCCCAAGTGGCTCCTTACCTGTCTCATCCTACCGATTGCGTAGTGAAATGAACTCCATCAGAAATGGTAATTTTTAACTATTTACTTATTTAATAGCTTGGCTAAAGATTATTAATATGGAAAAAAATTCACCTAGCTGCTTCGGTTGCAAATGCACATTCTAAAATTGATTGGTCGATCAAACGTCCTATAAAAAATGGGTCATGACTTTTCTTTAATCTTGAGATATTATCGGAAATAGGATCCCCTCTGTCTCTTTCCATTATATGCATTAAAATTCTCCTCATGCAAACCCGATTCTAAACCGATTCGTTCAAATTTTATCCGAGTTTAAAGGTATCGTTATAGTTAAGAACCATTAATAGCTACGCAATTTAATATTCAAAATTTGATGCGATAGAAGGAATAAAAATTGAGTGCTTAGACAATGTTTGGACTGTTACCTAAAAAAGATTTAAAAAGCGATAAAAAATAGCTTAAAGGAGTCTTCGACAGATGAAACTTTGAAAATACGATACCTGAAGAGCTTTTCTTTTGTCTTCGTTCAGGAAGAATTTCTCCGTCAGATACATCGATTGCATTTCGACGTTGTAACGAAACAGATATTAACGATACGTCACCATTTTCCACTCTGTAAAATATTTTTACATATCAAAAACATATCAAATATTTTTTCATCACCAATTGATAAATATAAATCGCAAAAAAAGACGCAAATACGAATAAAAAACTGCATCACTTTTGGCTATTCCTACGGGGAAGATAGATAAAGAAATCACCGCAAAAAAACATTCTTGCAAAAAGCGCGTTCTGGCAAAACAGAGTCAAATATGTGTTAGATCGTTAAATATGGTTCGAATCTATAATTACTTATCTTTACCGTCCATGATTCATCAAAAAAAATTACGCTGAAACCCTCTCCACGGTCGCAAACAAACATATCCTTTATTTTACTTATATTTTCATGTATTCTTCTCCAGTTAATCTTATTTTTTGCCACTGTCATTCCGAGAAATGGTACTACATTAAATACCATCAACATAATAAAGAATCATAATATAGTAACTTATTTAGTCAATAATCGACAAAAGAGATGAGATTGGAAAGCTAGGAGGGTCATTTTATGAAGGTGGAGAAAAGTACAAAAGTATTTTTATTGACAACAAATATAAAATGTATTTTGCCTGTTTTTGGAAGTATTGGAAATATTTTTGCACAATCAACTCAATCATATTATTATCGCCGGCACTTGAAGTTGTCGAATAGCGATAATTTAATAAATCTTTCTGGACTTTTTTCTATTAAAAAATCAAAAATTCAAGTTATTTTTTCTAATAAATTTATAAGTGCGAGATGCAAGCGAATTTTGCTATATTTCTAATTATTATATTATTTACCAATTCGGTAGAGTGTAAAATAATCATTTTAAAGGTGATATAATGTCTTCCTCCAAGACAAATTGTTGAAATCTAAATGGTAAGAGAAGCCTAAATTAGAAACTGCCAGAATAGTTTTAAAAGAAGCTAACAACATGAGCAAATAAAAAGAAATTATAGCTTAAACATCACGAATCAGCTAAAGCTTATGGCTGCTGGCTAATTTAAGGCAACTGAAATAAATATGGATCACTTATAGATGATCATAAAAAAAGAGCTCTTTACATCCAAAACCAGAATCCATCAACGTTGCTAATAAAACCCATACCACATCCCAAGAGAAGTTGATTGTTATGGAAAATGAACCTGAAAAGTGATCCAGAAGAAGCTGTTCTCCGAGGAAGATGTTGAAGAAATGACATATATTCAGTACCAGGGATGTAAGTTCTAGTTGCATCGGCAAATTCGTGGTACTTGCTAGGCTGTGATACCCAAAGGTTAGCCAAAGCCTAAAATTTTTTAGTTTTTAGAGTTATGTTATATTCTTCAAATAAATAAACTGATTTTATGGTTTAAAAAGGAATAAAGGAAAAAAAGGAAAAAAGGAATAAAGGAAGTAAGAAGAAATCTTCTTTTAAGACATGGAAAAAATCTCAAATTCGAACAAAGAGAATCTGCTTAATGAGGTGAAACCTATCAAATCTCAATTTTTAATGAATATTAAAGTAAAATGAATCATAAAAGGGTTTTCCAAAGGTTTTTCGCGAAAATTTCTTTATTTCGATTTTATATTTTAGAAAAATATCCACTGACATAAAGGAAATAACGGAAGAGTGGTGGTTCTAGAGGTTCTAGATTAATAGTAATAATCAACAAAAAATTTTTTTCTGGAAAAAAGCAAGATTCAATCTTCTTATCAAAATATAGGCTAAATGAGCTAAAAGAAATTACTGATGTGACGAAAAAATGATATTTAAATAGAAAGAACAATAATGATAAATGAATTAAAATAATGAAGTAGCGCATTGAGTGGAAAACCATAAAATTAAGACTAAGATTTCGGGATGATGGATCGATTTGGCGCTGATGGGGCCTCATTTAAAAACAAAGGACAATAAAAACATGACAAATAATAAATTGATTAGAAATTGATTAGAAATGTATAAAATGAAAGATTTATGAATGTTTCAAGAATATAAAATTATCAAATTAGGATCTAAGTTTTGGCAACAACTATGGTCAAAAAAATTGTGGTGTTGTGGTGAAAGACCACTAAAATTTATAATATTCATGAGGGAATAATATTCCACAAAATGCCAGCCATGTAATCAATCAAGTCAATCAACTAACAAAATTTTATGCAGTTTTATAATGCAGTTTTAAATTAAATTAATTTCTTAATATTAATGTTAAATAGCGAATCTTAATTTTCCAGTCTTAGAAAATTAAAAGTTGTGGATATTTTAAAAGGAAAAAATATTTTTAAAAGGACATAAATCGCTTTCTATGTGCAGGAAATGATGAGAGACAAATATTTTGCGAATTAAAATCCTTCTATGTTAGAGGCTATCAAAAAGTAAACCAATATTTTAAATATTGCAAATAAGGGATGAATATTTTATCCAAAAAATTATATAAATCCTTATGCAGAGAAAAAACGAAAGACCAAGAAGACAAGAAAAATTTCTTGCCTTCAGCAAAAAATATTCCGAAACTCCTGATCACCCTTACAGTCAATATTAATATTAATGCAAATTACGTACAGTCTTTGAAAAACCTAAGAAGTTATATAGCCGAGTGAATAATGGCTAATTATTGTAAAGAGAGGCGATAGTTCCTCTATCGCTCCATAATAATAAAACTAAAACTGTCATTAGACAGTGCTGGCGATCCATCTGCTTTTCTGTCGCCAATGATCCGTTGACAAAATAGCCGTAGTAAGTATAACAAACCTTCCAGAAATAACCAGAAATAGTGAGAGCCAACTATCTTAAAAATCAGTGATAACTCCATTTGAGATACGCCCGTACAAAAACAAGTCGTACAAGTAGAACTGTAGCTGTTTTCATTTAACACTTAACAGTTAGCAATGAATAATGTTTTCTTCGCTCTTGCGCTCTTCCATTCAAAATCGCCCCATTCTCAAAGCTGGAAAGGAAAATTTGGTATTTTACCAGAATTTCCTACTACAAAATTTAATTTAAATAAACGCCATAAAATTTTTAAGATTCCAGTCTTGCATCTCAAATGAACTTTTCTTTATAAGCAATGTCCAGTTATTCAATATCGTTTTCCCAATGCTGAAAAAAATTGGATGGGGATTCACGAATTTTACTCTAAAATTATTTTTAGAATGTTGTCACCCTATTTTGCTAAAAGTTGGGAAATTCGCCTGGAAATGTTACCAAGGAACCCATAAATTTTAAGAAACTAAAAATAGATATATAGATATATTTTGCATAACCACTTAAATCTTATAAGATAGAATTACGTTGCTAATACGATTCCAGTCAATCTTCTTAAGGATGCACAACGATTAAATAAATAAGAGCCATTCTTAAAATATTTAAAAACGTTCTATCTTGGCTAATAACATTTTATAGCTCATAAGCTTGCATGATTACATGATATGAGATGAAACATTAAACATGATAAGATGTGAGATAAGATGAGGCAAATATAGCAAAAATGTGCCAAATGAACTTGAACTAAACGCAGAAACTAATTCCGGCGATTCATATGTACTTCAATCGAGGGAACTCTATCTGGCAAAATTTGTCTAAAAAGCCTGACAAGCCATCGAAATGAGTCTAACCAGAAATGATCTTAAAGCTCTCAAAAAAAGTAGAGCCAGTCAAACCAAAAATGGGGAAATTATGCTGCCAGTAGAAAATAAATAAACCAATATAATTACTTGAAAATAATGAGTGGAACATGCTTTTGTGGTCTGATCGCAACGATAAATTAATTCCCTCAACTGGCCAACAATACGAATCTATAAAAGATAAGGAAAAGTCAAAAATGAAAGTGCATGAATATTGAAGGAAGAATATTTTGAGCAAAAGGACCTTTGCTTCCTCCACCTGTAGTTGGCGTTGATCCAGCTCAAGTTCGAGTTTTTCTACCTGAGTTTGAGCTTCCTCTCGCTGAAAGAATAAAAGATGATTATAACTATAAAGATGATTATTAGCACATTCTATTCATTTATTTGGTAGCCTCGGAGATAAAATCTTCATTCGCTGTTTATGCATTAAATATGCCTTTTCTCTTTCCGAAAATTTCGTGTTCCTATTTACATATATAATTTATATACATGTATATAGATAAATTTACTTTTGAAAATGCATCCTCTTCATTTTTACGACGTTTCTCAAGCTCTTTCTTTCTTCGCAACAATTCTGAACCAACAGCTGGCCCAGTTGATTCAGTTCGTAAAAAACTCTCTTGAGCCCTGCGATAGCCATCATCCCTAGATTCAAGTAATGTACGTGCTCGTATAAGTTCCTGTTGAGTATCTTTCTATAAATGAAGAAATAACCATATTTTATACGTGCTCGTATAAATTCCTGTTGAGTATCTTTCTATAAATGAAGAAAGTTCCTGTTGAGTATCTTTCTATAAATGAAGAAATAACCGAAGGTTCTTTGCGTGCTTTTTTTGAATTTTAATATTTTGAAAAGGATTTTTTTAAGGAAAGAATAAGGAGAAAGGGGCGAATATATTTCGTAAAATATATCTTAAGGAAAGAACTTTATTGATTTCTTTTTAAAGCTATGAAATTAAAGTAATACTAAATGACATCATGAATGTAAATAATAAAAAATAACTAAATTTTCTATCGTTTTCAGAGAGAGAATATTCGATGAATAAATGAATGAAGGATGGCCAGAAAAAAATGGACGGACAATTCCAATAACTTTGCATAATTCATAAGTGTTGTTTATGTGTGGGTTTGAATATTATTATTGTATTTTTGCTGAATAATTCATTATTAATGAAAAATATCGCTGAGAAATAAACTAAAAAGACTTCGACTGCAGATTTTGACACTAAAAAGAAAAGTAAAAAACTGCATATTAATGTAATATGACGAGAGGAATGAAATGGAATGGAAAAGGATTAATGAAATTTAAAAGTTTCCAAATTCATATTGCACGCACACTGATAGCTGAATGGTTAACAGCTGATTATCAGCGGTTCGGTTTCTAAGCTCGACAGGATTAAAACTGTTATCTAAAAAATTCGGATGATGCTGTCTATTTCCTTAAGTGATTTCGTGAAAAAAAATTCCCGAACAAAAGCTAAGTCCTTAGCACTTTCTGGAAACATCAAGAGCTGATTTTTAATATAAATTAGTAATTGAAGGATCTCAAAGATACACGCAAAATTTGAAGAATTTCATCGATTTTCCTCTTTGATTTTATTCCCAAACATTAATCAATCCTTTATATTCAACGAAGTTTTTGCTTTCACCTCAATCACCTCAATTTTCTTGATATTCAATCTTGATTTCTTTCAAATAAAAATGTATTCATAACCAATAAAGCATTAGCTATTAGCAATTTATCTGGCCTCGAAGATGTCTCGGATAATCAGGAAGTAATAGATAATTATAATATTGAAAATAGAGACTTACAACTTGTTTTGTAACCCGAAGCCATTCATTTTTCAAGGCTCGACGTTGGCGCTCGTGATCATCTCGTCGCATTTCTAGTGACTAAAATAATAAGTGGCTGATAATTTTGTAGAAACCATGGATTATCAAGCAATTTCTGGAGATTACGTTGAGAAAAGATGGTAGAAGTTTTATAGCTCGAGAAATCTTACACGATGCTCGCTTTATTTTAAGATTATATAACAGAATAAACGAATGGAAGAATAACCTTAATAAAACGATCTTGAATATATTTAATAGTCTCAAACGTATGTTCACAAAATGAGATATCACTGTCGAAATTATTTTCGAAAACATTCTTCAAAGGCAAAAACTGCTGAAATTAATATAAAACAAAATTGCCTCAAAACGATAAATTGAAGATGTGAGAAATCTGTTAGCTTCACAATTATGATAAATAAACGTGTAAAATAAATTTTTTCAATTTTTTTTGTACATTTCTTTTCGATTATTTAAATTTAATAAATAAAACAAAACAACAGTTCGTAATAATAATCGAAGGGATAGCCAAAACTTTTATGAAAATATGAAAATAACTTTTATGATTTATGATTTGTCTGAAATAACTTATACTGCAGAGACGTATCACATGTAAATCATGTAATTCCTTTAATCTTGAAATAAAAATGGCTTTCGAGAAATAAAAATGATGGTTAAATATCGTCAATTTGTTTTTATCATTTTTCAAAATTCCCTCATCCCAACTATATATATATAAACTGTTTCAAGGAATGACAAATGATTAGCGGACTTGGAAAGAATCCGCGAACGTTGAACATCAAATCGCAGTGGAGGATGGGGAAATCGAACCCCCAACCCTCGCATGCAAAGCGAGCGCTCTACAGCTGAGCTAATATATATACATAAACACATTACTAGCTATACTAGCTATTTAATATATATATTAATATATATATATATAATGGGCAAGCATCATTCCTAAAAACAAACTAAATAAAGAACAGATGACACAATTGCTTAGAATACAAAAAGTCTACGAGAAAAGATTCTAAAATCATGTTTAAAGCACCAAGGAGATCAGTAATTAAGCACAGTAGTGAAATAGGAATATTTTTTAAAATAACCTCAGTGACTGTAAGTTTTGACTGATTTGCAAGAGTTTGTATCCTTTTCGCGTGTTCCAATTCCAAATGTGTCCGTCTTGACACATAACTTAATAATTCTTTACAGTACTTTGACCAAGCTGGAATTATAATTCATTGCAAATGTATAAAAAGAAAAAATTTTATCATAATTATTTATTAAAATATTTTATTACGCTGAACCAATGCCGATAAATTTCAGCAAAAAAAATCTACAAAATCTTAAATTTTTTTAACAAATGAAATAATTTGCTTCCCCAGAAAATAAGCTATTCCATTTCCATTATGCAAAAAAATTTGGGTATTGATTATGAATCCAGCAATAATGGGATAAATCGAGAACATATGAAATATGCAAATAATCAGAAGTATGCAGATGGGAAGTGTTGAATCAATCAATATAGAATAAAATAAAATAGGACGTTTGGAAGGTAACAAGAAAAAACGCAAAAAATATATAAAAAATTAAAGGAATAAAAAGAGGACAAAATATAAAGATGAACAATAACATAACGACCTTTAACTCGTTCGAATGCAATATCAATACCATCTTCGCGCTCGGTTATGATTTTATCCATCTCTTCGATGCTCAATTCTGGAATAAAATCGCTATTTAATCGAAAAAATTATAATAATTATTTGTTACTAATGCATTCAAAAACCTTTCTGCTGTGTAGTTCCTCCTTTTTTCTAATCATTAATAAAGGATATTGAGGGACATTAAAAAGATGAATCCAGGCAGAGAAAACAGTAAATTAGAATTGCTAGATAATGAAGATATTACTGCAAAACTACAAGATTTTTCTCAAATAAAAATTTCACTTTATTTTTATTAAAAGGCAAATTATGATGAAAGCTGATATCAAGAAAATAATTTTGTCTTTATTTTCTATAATGGGAATTTTTCAAAATATTCGACCATCAATTTTAAAAATCGCACGCATATTTAAGATTGTAAGATAACTTTTATATGCTTTGTCATATGAATGGACGGAATTTTTCCATCAGTTACGTTTAACCATCAAATAATATTTTGAAGCAGACAATTCGCAAGAAATTTCAAAAATTTGACCTTTCTCGTTAGATGCAAATTTTTTTGAATATGAATGACCAAAATAAATGAAAATTTTAGAAAATATGAAAAATATGAGTGAAAAAGAAGTTAAAGCAAAACAGCAAGATGTAACTGCAAGAAATAAGATTCGATTCCTAAGATTCGATTGTACAGCTTTTCTACAGCTTTATCTATATTTCTATCGCCAAGTGAATCTCTGGTCTGGTAAAAATTTCTAACTGTACTAAAAGCTAGTGGAGTGAACTATTTTACTTTTCATTCGTGATTCTCTGGATAAAATTTAATGGCTTGTTATTATAATAAATAGAATGAACTGGCTTAGTTCACAGAAAAATAAGAAAAAAAAAATTATTCCATTCTTTCAAACTAAAAAAAAATTCCTAATGATAAAATAGCCTAAAATGCGAATCACTTTTAACACGAAGAAATATTTCTTAGCATATATTATTACATTACTATATACTAAAAATATTAGAAAATAAATCCTAAAAAACAGAAAAAGAAAAGGTAAAAGCAAGAAACATAAGAATTTAGTCAACTGATGTGGACTGCTTGCTCTAAAATCTTATCTCTCATTGCATTTGCTACAAATGGCATGTGAATCATAAAATTTTCTTTCGAAAATCACACTCTTATGGACAATAAAAGTTGATTATGTACCCAAAAATGCATGAGTTTCTCGAAAATATGAAAGAAAATGATTAAACTGAATAAGATAAATAATAATAATAAAAGATAATAACATATAAAAGCATCAGATCAAAACAAAAAATTTCGGATTAAATTTCAAACAGAGTTGCAAATATTATGTAAACTAATCGTTTTTATGCTAATACAAAATTATTGCCCATCTTTGTTGTGATAATGATAAAGTATAGCGCTTTTTTGATATCTGACATTTGTTTGACGTAAATGTTATTGCTCGCCGTGTGATAATTGCTAAATTGCTTACTGTGATATGGTAATTATCAATTAGTCTCATGATATGTTCGTTCTTCTTTATATTTGGGCCAAAAGATTGAAACTAAGAGAAAGAAAAATTTTCATGATAGATAGCATCAAAATCGAGGAAAAGGCATTGAAATTCCTACGGATAAATGATGTTCATGAATAGATGAGCAGTTTTGCGATGGCTTAGATAAGGGAAAAAAAGAATTTTAGCTAATTTCAGGTAAAGTGGCAGCCTAATGACCAATGGAATAGTGCGCGCTATCAGAATAGAAGAAATAATGAACAATATATGGCAATTCAAGCTAAAAAGAATTAAGTCCGAAAACAAGATTTATTTTCATAGAAGCAATAAAGCGGAACCTATCAGACCTGATATTATTTTGATTATTTTGACGATTGTTTTTATTCATTGACAGTTACCGGCAATTGTTAGACGTGAAATGAGAACTCGTGGTAGTAAGAGCACTTAAAGTCATCTTTTTTGACATTTGTTTGACGTAAATGTTATTGCTCGCCGTGTGATAATTGCTAAATTGCTTACTGTGATATGGTAATTTCAATTAGTCTCATGAATTAACTTAAAAATGAAGAAAAAGAGAATAAAAATTTTTCCTTTTATTTTATGTATTTCTAAGTGTCTTTTAGAATAAAAAAAATAGACTAATAAATAAACCTAAGCCCTGAAATCTGTTTTCAAATTTCTGACTTGAAAATTGTTTTGCAAATTTCTGCATAGGTAGATTTCGTACCATATTTATACTCATATTCTTCTTACTTATTGTAAATATGGTAAGATTACATAAATTTTCTAGAATGTTGAAGAAGTTTCCTTGTTTTAGCAAAAAACATCCGCTTTAACTATTAACAGTTTTTTTGTGCCTGGTTCATAAGCCTTTCTGGAACTCACATAATTGCAAGAAATTTGGATAAACTGATTTACCTCGTTATAAACTCACCTATCACGCCCTTTAAATAATCAGCCTTTAATTTTAAAATAAACGTCAAAGAATCTAATATTCAAGTTGGCAAAAAAAGATTAAAATAGAATCAAAATCAACCTGATTTATCCATAACCAATAGATCAATAAATCAATTCATTACAATTCATAAAAACAATTTTTTTCCATGCAAATAAATGAGACTATCGTTGATTAAATAAACAAAAAATAATCCATTTTGACTTTCAAATTTTATTACGACAATATTTTTTCAAAATTTTTCTCAAAAAAATTCTAAAAAAACCGAAATGAAATTTAAAGAAAATGCATAAAGAAGCTTTAAAATTTTATTTTTCGCGAAGAGCCATCATTGAAAAAATTCGTGTGGATCCACTCCACTCTAAAGTAGGTGGTAAAACTGAATTGTATCCTACTGATAGTCGGGGTGGGCTTAGAAATTATAGGTGCTGACCACTTAGAGAGATTTTCTAGAAAGTCGAAAATTTCTTATTTCAGCAAAAAAATGGAAGAAAATTTTCCTAAAATTTTTTCTTTCACTTCTCATTTTTTTCGCAGAGATTATATTATATGATGTTAGTTCAAAATTTTCAAACTAAAGGAATGGAAAAATGGCAAATCAGAAAAAAATAATAAATTTGTATAGCCATCAGCTTATATACGAATTAACGAATATATAAAAGACCGCAGACCTACTTTATCACTGAATCTATTAGCTAATTCAACTGCGCTTGTTGCCAAGATTGCATCATTTATTCGGCTGGAATAAAGCTATCACTAAATACACTAAATACGGATAATACGGATAATACTGATCCACTCATCTGTTTTTTTGTCGCAAAATTTTGCACCACACTACTAGCCAGTGGGGCGAAACTAACCAGAAATGAGCGTTAACCACTTGAATTAAATTAAAATTATTTAAATTAATTCGCGGCTAAGGTTAAGTTCATTCACCACAGTATTTGAAATCATCCGGGCTATAAAATCTAAGCTTTTTAACAGCTTTTTGAATTTTGAATTATGTTGAAACATAATCTCAACTAAATTCATAAACATTTAACTGAGGCACATAAAAAAAAGTTGATTGGCTAAAATTTAGGAATTGACAGGAAACTCGTTTAGGTTTGTTTCAAATAAAAATGAACAGTACATACCCCCTATAAATCAATAAATTACAAAAAAAGGTATCAGAAAATTTTTTTTGAGAACAAAGTGGTGGTGCAGAATTCAATAACATTTATTTTCTCGCATGATGGCCTCGTTGAAATTCTTATGGAATGGAAAAAGAGGTGATGATTAGCAAAACTACTTATTGAAAAATATTACGAGAGTTGTCTTCGAAATAAAGTGTGATGTCCATCAAAAGAATCCCGGCAAAAAATGACTAATAAAGCGTACAAATATGAATAAGAAAGGGCCATATAAGTTCTGGAACGAAATTAAACGAAATGCTTTGATATACAATGGAGCAAAATTAAAATAATTTTTCGCCCATAAAATCCGGTCGTTTTTCGTCATTTCTATTATTTACCTGGCGAAAAAAGATAATCAAAAAATGAATTCCAGGAAAGAGTTTTTTTCCTCCTTGCTCATAAATTTAAAAAATTTTGAATTTAAGTATATCATCAACATGATTCAACGTTTGGTTAGAACAAATAAAAAAAATGATCAATGTTTCAATGAACTGTTCCGACGGAGTTCCGACGGGGCTACTCATTTTCATTGCTTATTCTCAAGGAACCACATAACGGCTCTATAAACCGCAGCATTCAATTTTATATTATCATATGGATAAAATTCATAAAATTTTAAATAAATTTTAAGACAAATAAATTTATATATTTTTTAGATTTTTCAATTTCAAAGCAAAAAATACCTGGTAATAATGCAAAAAAGGCAATGAAAAGAACAACAATAATTTAAAAGCAGCACTTAAAATATTACTAAATTTAACTTTATAATTGTCGCGAAAGGAAAGGATGAGAAGGAGATGGGAAATGGGAGGGAAAGCCAAAAAGAGCAGCGAATTATGAACCTTACTTCTTCTTCCCTGTTCTCTCAAATCTTTTTAAACTTTTAAATCAAAAGCAATTTTTGGAACTCATGATTGTGTAAACTAATGTGTAAACTATCAATAATTCTTCTACGGCAATGACGCTTTTTGGACCTTCTTTTCCCCCACTTTTCTAAGTACGAAAAGGGGACATTCAAGATTCAAAGATATTGAGCTTGAGATATAAAACCAGAAAAGCTGTGATTTTTTTAAAACTAATTGAAGTTTCAAAAAAGTCTGATCATATTCTTCAAAAAGCGTCTTTCTCGAAACGAAATGAAAAGCTGCAATGGAGATAACAACAGCAACAAAAATATCGATAATAAAATATTCAAGAAATGAAATGTATTATATTATATTCAACTGCAGCTGGAATACTGGACAATGTTAATAATGGTACCAAAAGAAATAAATTTTATGGAAAAAGAATTACTACTAGAAAAAGAAAGTTTTTTCGTTGATTTTATCATCAAATATTGCAATCAAATCGCATAAAGTGAGAACTGGGAATTAAAATTTCTATTTTCATGATTTATTAGG